GTAGAGAAGTGCCATCAATGGCCTGCCAAGGACATTAGTCTGAGTGAGAAATAAACCTTTGTTGCGGTAAGCTATTGAGTTTTGGTGAGTTTGTTACTGTAGCATAACTCAGCCAGATTGATTCCTACAGACCCCATAATTTAGTTAAGCCACTATTATTTCAGGACTTTGTTAACTGCCAGACAGATGCAATGCATACCTGATAGACACCCCATAGACACCCACCCCCATGAGATGACTGTCATTTGTTCCTGTGTGCTGATAGGGTCTAAAACACAACTAATGAATGTTTCCTTTGGCATCCTGGCAGGAATTTCAAGTTATTTCCCAGTACTTTGCTCATTGTTTCACCTTGTTCCTTCTAGCATCCATGCCCTCTAGAATCTGCTTTGGAGCCTACTTCTCATCAAACTCTTAGCTAAATGGCTTCTGCAAGAGTGATTCAGGGTTGGGCCTTGAGGTGGGAATGGGTCAGCCTGTGTGAGGAACAGCCTGGCAGCCACTGGTGGAGATTTCAACACACAGATGTGAACTGATTTTTATTTTTCCCCACACCGAGTAGCTTGTGGGATCTTAATTCCCCAAGCAGGGGTTGAACCCGGGCCCTTGGCAGTGAAAGCGTGGAGTCCTAACCAGTAGACCACCAGCGAATTCCGTGAACTGATTTTTCTATGTTCCTCTGGCTGCTGTGTACAGTCATTATTGTTCTCATTATTACATGTGAAGAACCTGGAACAGTACCTGGCCTACAGGAAGTGCTCTCTAAAGAAGTTTTTACTGTTGTTGCTGTAAGGGAAGCAAGAGCGGAAGCAGGGAGACCAGCAAGCAACTGTAACAACATCTCAGTAAGAGACAATGACAGGGACTTCCCCGGTGGTCCAATGGTTGAGACGTCGCCTTCCAATCCAAGGGGCCTGGGTGTGATCCCTGGTCTGGGAGCTGAGCTAAGATCCCACATGCCTCGTGGTCAAAAGACAAAACAGAAGCAATATTGTAACAAATTCAATAAAGACTTTACAATGGTCCACATTAAAAAAAGATCTTAAAAGAGACTGACAGCCTGGACTACACTGTGATAGCAGAGGTGGTAAGAAGTAGTCAGGCTGGGAACGTGGTGGGCTTTTTCCTGTCCTTATTTCCTAATAGTTTAGTGAGGATTCTGTCATTGGCATCTGTAACTGTATTTCCAAAGAGTTAGGGGTTTTGTTGTGATTGTTGCAGGATGGGGAGTGTCAGGGGGTAGAGTTAAAGCATGGATTAATTGGTATAGACTGGGGGCAGTGGTGCTGAAGAAAAGAGGATCAGTTTGGGTCCTCAGTTCGTCAATGACTGACCCTGCACCTTTCCATGAGCTCTGTCAGGGCAGGAACAAGATGTGTCAGTGTCCCGTGTGTCCAGCAGGGGCCTGCTTACTACAGGAGACACTCAAAGTTGCTGAATTAATAAATGGTGTCAAGTGGCACCAGTGGTAAAGAGCCCACCTGCCAATGCAGGAGACATAAGAGATGTGGATTGGGCCCTGGGTCAGGAAGATCCCCTGGAGGAGGGCACACAACCCACTCCAGTATTCTTGCCTGAAGAATCCCATGGACAGAGGAGCCTGGCAGGCTACAGTCTATAAGGTTACAAGAGTCTGACACAACTGAAGCAACTTAGCATGCACATGCACGTCAGAGTGATACATTTTAAAAAGCAAGTCTGGACATATTGATTCAGGTCCAAAGACCACTCTACTCTCCTCCTACCCTGAAACAGGGTCCCTCAAAGGGTAGCTGGGATGTGGAGTTCTGGGTTTACTGGGAAGCTCATATGAGACACATTCACCTAATTAACCCAACAAATATTTACTAAGCACTATGTGCCAGGCACTGTTCTGGGTGATAGAGACACAACAGGGAATAAGACAGACAAAAATCCCTGCCTTCAGGAAGCTGACATTCTAATGGAAGAGACAATAAATGGATATATTTGGTTGACCAAAAAGTTCGTTTGGCTTTTTCTATACAATCTTGTGGAAAAACCCAAATGAACTCTTTGGCCAACCCAATATTAAACATGTGGTATGCCAGAGAGTGTTAAGGATAAAGGGGAAAATAAAGCAAGAAGTTAGTAAAGAAAATACGTACGTACTGGGAGAGGGTTATCATTTTACAGAGTAGTGGTCATAAAGGGAAGAACTTTCCATGCAAAGGCCCTGGGGCAAGAATGTGCCTGGCATGCTAGAGGAACATCAAACAGGCAGTGACACTGGCATGGAATGAGTAAGAGGCAGGAGAGAGGAGATAAGGCCAGAGAGTGGGGATCCAGTGCCTGTAGGGCTTCGTAGGCCTGCTTACTGCCTGCTCCAGCCTCACCTTCTTGTCTTTTATACAGTCAGGTGAGAGCCAGGGGAGGCATCTGAGCCCTGATCTGACGCAGGGGGTTACCAGTCCCCTGTGACTGCATGTGGAAAACAGACTGTGGGAGCAGCTTGTCAAATGGAGAACCGACTAAAATAGTGCAGTCAGGAGGTGGCCAACACCAGGGTGGGGGCAGAGATGGGGGACAGAGTGGTCAATTCTGGATAGACTTTAAAGGAAGAGCCTGGACTTCCCTGGTGGTCCAGTGGTTGAGAATCCACTTGCCAATGCAGAGGACATGGGTTCAACACCTGGTCCGGGAAGATTCCAAATGCTTCAGAGCAACTAAGCCTGTGGACCACAACTACTAAGCCCACTCACACAACTACTAAAACCCCCACACCCCGGTGCCCATGCTCTGCAACAAAAGAAGCCACCACAATGAGAAGCCTGGGTACCACAACTAGAGAGTAGCCCCCACTCACCTCAACTAGAAAGCCTGTGTGCAGCGATGAAGGCCCACTGCAGCCAAAAATAATAACTTAAAAAAATTTTTTTAAGGGAATGCCAACAGGATTTGCTGATGGACCAGAAGAGGAATGTGTCCTGGCCCATTTAGACTAAGGCCACCAGGGACAAACCTGGAGTCCAATAAAGTCAGGCTTATTTACCTTGGCAATAAGTGAACTGCACACCAGAGGTACTGTGGGGAATTTCATCAAACAGAGGAAAATAACTATTATTGGGATTTGCATGCTAAGTCGCTTCAGTCGTGTCCGACTCTGCGACGCTATGGACTGTAGCCTGCCAGCCTCTTCTGTCCATGGGATTCTCCAGGCAAGGATACAGGAGTGGACTGCTTGTGCCCTCCTCCAGGGAATCTTCCTGACCGAGATCAAACCCAGGTCTCTTACATACCCTGCATTGACAGTTGGGTTCTTTACCACTAGCGCCACCTAGGAAGCCTCATTATTGGGGCTTGGGGGATGGGTAAAGTTTAGATGAAATGTAAGTGAAACAGTGTTTGGATAAGATCAAAGCAGAGCAGAACTGTGCGTAAATGGATCAATATCAGACCTGGATTGCAAAGTGGGCCCAGGGTCTGTCTCCGTGGAAGCAATAAAGTTTAGGTAGATGTGAACTACTGTGTCCAGAAACCCCTTACCTGAAGTTCTGAACCTGGACTATAAATCAAGGCTGCTTCTCTGTGTCAAGCGACCTAACTTCTCCAGGCCTTAAGTAAGATGTTTCATTCCTACTGATGTAATTTCAAACAGCAAAGTTTGTGATAGCCTATGATTTTAGAGAACAAAGCTTCTTAGTAAAAAAGCAGTAGTCGCTTAAAGAAGGGAAGTTTTGCTCCTTCACATCTGCAGCACGTCCCTGAGAAAATTTTTTTCCGATTAACTCTTCAGCCAGCTTTTTTCCATCTCTGTCATCCCACCTAAATAAATTAGAAGGCAGGGATTTTGGGTTTGTTTTGTTTTAAAAACTTAAGCTAAGTTTTACTTTCTCAGGTGTGAGAAAAAAGTAAAGTTGGTTCTAAGCATTTCTAGCCTGAAAGACAGTAAAGGATGAAAAGCTATTAGATAGCAAACCTTATGGGAGGTTCTGGGAGAGACAGTCAGGAGGTCGGTTTCGGAAGTTTTGAGTTTGAGATGCCTCAAATTCGTGGGGATGGCGAGTAGGCAACTGTAAGCTCTTTCTGAGCCTGGACCAACTTCATTCCTCTACATAGCCCTCCCTTTCCTCCGTTCGCCCCGCTCACTACCTGCAGATAATCGTCTATCCCTGCTGTATCATACCTTTGCACGTTTACATGTACCGTGTTTACTGCAACTAACCCTGCTTCCAAATACCTGCAACCTAGACCAGGAGCGCCGCGCCGCAGCATTTATCCTCGTGCCCCGCCCCACATTGCCCCGCCCTTGGGCCCCGCCTCCCTGTAAGCCCCGCCCCTCGCTTGCGCTCACTTGTAGAAGCTCACTGGGCGGTTGTCCGCGCCCAGCTGGCCCGCAGTGTTGGAGCAGTTCGGAGCCCGGCAGTACTTCGGCATGGCTGTCCAGCCCAACTGGGTTTTGCCCGGTCTGCAGCCGCACTTTGATCCTCGCCAGGCACCGCCGAACCCCGCCCCACCCGCGCGCTTGTCTCCTGCCTCACGTGACGGCCCTTGGGTCCTCGTCACATGCGGAGGGAAGGAAAGCTGCGCCTGCGTATTACGTGCCATACTGCGTTGCTACGTCACGTGGCAAGTGAATAAGGAAAAACCGGCTCTGAGCCGCCGGGACTTCATCACGTGTTGGGGGAAGAGGTGGCGTCAAGACCTTTCTGAGTCTGCGCCAACTCTTCAGTCTCGGCTCCACCCTAGCTTACATCCGGGCGACTGCTACTGCGAGGATAGTCGGCCTGGGGTGGCGGTAGGGGGCTTTGGCATTAGCCTCGTAAAAGTTCAAAACTGACGTTCAGTGAATGATGAAAACACAGACGGGATTAAAAAAAACTCCACAACGCTCGATCAAACATCTAGCTAAGAAGCCGTGGCTCCACCCAGCCAGAACCCCCGCTCCACCTCTTAGCCCTCATTGGTCAAAAGCGCCGCAGGGTAACCCTGAGATTGGCCAGACCAGCAGACCCCCGCGTCCAATGGGCGGCGGCGCCGGCTTTCCCGCGGCCGTTCGCTATTCAAGTGGATCGTGGCGGCGGCGGCGGTTGAGTGTAACGGTCGCCCTGCTCCGACGCGACGATGGCGGCCTTGGGGCCCGGAGGCTACGCGCGGAATGATACAGTTGAGAAGCTGCCATCAGTCGTAGCGGGAGTTCCAGCGCGGAGGGCCCAGTCTTCCCCGCCTCCGGCTCCACCGCTCTGCCTCCGGCGGCGGACGCGACTCCCGGCGGCTCCAGAGGACACGGTGCAGAATCGGGTGAGGAATTGCTTGCCTTGTCCATCTCAGTTCCAGGTTCCCTGCTCTTCCTTGGTCCCACCCTTAGATCCTTGGCCCCGCCTATCAGTCCCCTGCTGGTACCCATCTGACTGCTCTCTGGCCTGTTGTATCCCCTAAGTCCCGCCCCTAAATGAGGCTCCTCCCACTGCCGCGTCTCCTCCTCTCTCTGGTACTGCCCATCACCCCTAGTCCCACCTCTCAACCCCTGGCCCCGCCCTCAGCCTTTAAAAATTTTTTTTTTTATTGAATGATCATTGCTTTACAGAATTTTGTTTTCTGTCAAACCTCAATATGAATCAACCGTAAGTATACATATATCCCCTCCCTTTTGAACCTCCATCCCATCTCCTGCCCCATCCCAGCCCACTAGGTTGATGCAGAGCCTCTGTTTGAGTTTCCTGAGCCTCACAGCAAATTCCCTTTGGTTATCTATTTTACATATGGTAATGTAAGTTTCCATGTTACTCTTTCCATACATCTCACCCTCTCCTCCCTTCTCCCCATGTTCGTAAGTCTATTCTCTATGTCTGTTTCTCCACTGCTGCCCTGTGAATATCAGTATCATTTTTCTAGATTCCATATATATGTGGTAGAATATGATATTTATCGTTCTCTTTCTGACTCACTTCACTCTGTATAATAGGTTCTAGGTTCATCCACCTCATCAGAACTGACTCAAATGTGTTCCTTTTTATGGTTGAGTAATATTCCATTGTGTATATGTACCACTACTTCTTTATCCATTCATCTATCAATAGACATCTAGGTTGCTTCCATGTTCTAGCTATTGTAAATAGTGCTGCAATGAACAATGGGATACATGTGTCTTTTTCAATTTTGGTTTCCTGAGGGTATATTCCTAGGAGTGGGATTTCTGGGTCATATGGTGGTTTTATTCCTAGTATTTTAAGGAATTTCCATACCATCTTCCCACCAACAATACAAGAGCATTTCCTTTTCTCCACACCGTCTCCAGCATTTATTGTTTGTAGAGTTTTTGATGATGGCCATTCTGACCCATGTAAAGTAATATCTCATTGTAGTTTTGATTTGCCTTTCTCTAATAATGAGCGATGTTGAGCATCTTTTCATGTGTTTGTTAGCCATCAGTATGTCTTTGGAGAAATGTTTAAGTCTTTTTCCCACTGTTTGATTGGGTTGTTTGTTTTTCTGGCGTTGAGTTGTATGAGCGGCTTGTATATTTTGGAAATTAATCCTTTGTCAGTTGTTTCATTTGCATTTATTTTCTCCCATTGTGAGGGTTGTCTTTTCACCTTGCTTATAGTTTTCCTTGCTGTGCAAAAGCTTTTAAGTTTAATCAGGCCCCACTTGTTTGCTTTTGTTTATATTTCTGTTACTCTAGGAGGTGGGTCATAGAGGATCTTGCTTTGATTTATGTCATCGAGTGTTCTGCCTATGTTTTCCTCTAAGAGCTTTATAGTTTCTGGTCTTACATTTAGGTCTTTAATCCGTTTTGAGTTTATCTTTGTGCATGGTGTTACACATACCATACACAAGTGTTGGTATGTGTTCTAATTTCATTCTTTTACATGTAGCTGTCCAGTTTTCCCAGCACCATTTATTGAAGAGGCTGTCTTTGCCCCATTATATATTCTTGCCTCCTTTGTCAAAAATAAGTTACCTATAGGTGCATGCGTTTATTTCTGGGCTTTCTATCTTGCTCCATTGGTCTGTATTTCTGTTTTTGTGCCAGTACCACACTGTCTTGATGACTGTAGCTTTGTAGTATAATCTGAAGTCAGAAGGTTGATTCCTCCAGCTCCATTCTTATTTCTCAAGACTGCTCAGGCTATTCGGAGTCTTTGTGTTTCCATATAAATTGTGAAATTTTTTGTTCTAGTTCTGTGAAAAATGCCATTGGTAATTTGATAGGGATCACACTGAATCTGTAGATTGCATTTGGTAGTATAGTCATTTTCACAATATTGATGTTTCCTACCCAAGAACATGGACTATCTCTCCATCTGTTTATGTCATCTTTGATTTCTTTCATTAGTGTCATAATTTTCTGTGTACAGTTCTTTTGTCTCCTTAGGTAAGTTGATTCCTAGATATTTAATTCTTTTTGTTGCAGTGATGAATGGGATTGATTCCTTAATTTCTCTTTCTGGTTTTTCATTATTAGTATATAGAAATGCAAGTGATTTCTGTGTATTGATTTTGTATCCTGCAACTTTGTTAAATTCACTGATTAGCTCTAGTAATTTTCTGATAGTATCTTTAGGGTTTTCTATGTACAGTATCCTATCATCTGCAAAAAGTGAGAGCTTTACTTCTTCTTTTCTATTGTGGATTTCTTTTGTTTCTTTTTCTTCTCTGATTGCTGTAGCTAGGACTTCCAGATCTATGTTGAATAATAGTGGTGAAAGTGGACACCCTTGTCTTGTTCCTGCTCTTAGGTGGAATGCTTTTAGTTTTTCACCATTGAGAATAATGTTTACTGTAGGCTTATCATATGTGGCCTTTACTGTGTTGAGGTAGGTTCCTTCTATGCCCATTTTTTGAAGAGTTTTAATCATAAATAGGTGCTGAATTTTGTCAGAGGCTTTTTCTGCATCTATTGAGATTATCATATGGTTTTTATCTTTCAATTTGTTAATATAGTGTATCACATTAATTTGCATATATTGAAGAATCCTTGCCTTCCTATAATCAAATCAACAACTTGACCATGGTGTTTGAGCTTTTAGATATGTTGCTGAATTCTGTTTGCTAAAATTTTGTTGAGGATTTTTGCATCTATGTTCATCAGTAATATTGGCCTGTAGTTTTCTTTTTTGTTGTGGTCTTTGTCTGGTTTTGGTATCAGGGTGATGGTGGCCTTGTCGAATGAGTTTGGAAGTGTTTCTTTCTCTGTAATTTTTTGAAAGAGTTTTAGAAGGATAGGTGATTAGCACTTCTCTAAATGTTTGATAGAATTCTCCTGTGAAGCCATCTGGTCCTGGGCTTTTGTTTTTTGGTAGATTTTTGATCACAGGTTCAATTTCAGTGCCTGTAATTGGGTTGTTCACAATTTCTATTTCTTCCTGGTTCAGTCTTGGAAGATTGAACTTTTTTTTTTTTTAAGATTGAACTTTTCTAAGAATCTGTCCATTTCTTACAGGTTATCTGTCTTATTGCCATATACTAATAGTCTTTATAATCCTTTGTATTTCTGCATTGTCTTTTGTAACCTCTCCTTTTTCATTTCTAATTTTGTTGATTTGATTCTTTTTTTCTTCATGAGTCTGGATGAGGCTTATCGATTTTGTTTATTTTCTCAAAGAAACAGCTTTTAGTTTTATTAATCTTTACTGTTGTTTCTTTCATTTCTTTTTCATTTACTTCTGCTTGGATCTTTATGATTCTTTCTACTAATTTTGGAGGTTTTTTGTTGTTATTGTTCTTTTTCCAGTTGGTTTAGGTGTAAAGTTAGGTTGTCTGTTTGATATTTTTCTTTTCTCCTGAGGTAGGATTGTATTGCTATAAACTTCCCTCTTAGAACTGCTTTCAGTGCATCCCATAGGTTTTGAGTTGTCATGTTTTCATTTTTATTTGTTTCTAAAAATTTTTTTATTTCCCTTTTGATTTCTTCAATAACCTGTTGGTTATTTAGAAATGTGTTGTTCCCTATGTGTTTGTGTTTCTTACAGTTTTTTTCATGTAATTGATACCTAGTCTTGGCGCTGTGGTCAGAGAAGGTGCTTAATATTACTTTAATTATCTTAAATTTACTAAGTTTTGATTTGTGACCCAAGATGTGGGTAGACCTATCCTGGAGAATGTTCTGTGTGCACTTGAGAAGGTGTATTCTTCTGCATTTGGACGGAATGTCCTGAAGATATCAGTGAGATCCATCTCATCTAATGTATCATTTAAGACTTGTGTTTCCTTATTAATTTTCTGTTTTGATAATCTGTCCATTGGTATGAATAGGGTATTAAAGTCTCCTACTATTATTATGTTACTATCAATTTCTCCTTTTATGTCTGTTAGTATTTGTCTTAAGTATTGAGGTGCTCCTATGTTGGGTGCATAGATATTTATAATTGTTATGTCTTTCTCTTGGATTTATCCTTTGATCATTATGTAGCATCCTTCCTTATCTCTTGTATTCTTCTTTATTTTAAGGTCTATTTTGTCTGATATGAGGATTGCTACTCCAGCTTTCTTTTGCTTCCTTGCAAAATATATTTGCATGAAATATATTTTTGCATCCTCTCATTTTCAATCTATATGTGTCTTTAGGTCTGAAGTGGGTTTCTTGTAGACAGGATATCTATGGGTCTTGTTTTTGTATCCATTCAGCCAGTCTGTGTCTTTTGGTTGGGGCATTTATGCCTTTTACATTTAAAGTAATTATTGATATATATGTTTCTATTGCCATTTTCTTAATTGTTTGAGGTTGATTTTGTAGATCTTTTTTCTTGTATTTCATGACTACATAAGTCCGATTAACATTGTTGTAAAGCTGGTTTGGTGGTACTGAATTCTCTTAACTTTTGCTTGTTCAAAAAGCTTTTTATTTCTCCATCAATTTTGAATGAGATCCTTGCTGGGTACTGAAATCTTGGTTGTAGATTTTTCCCTTTCAATACTTTAAATATATCCTGCCATTCCTTTCTGGCCTGAAGAGTTTCTGCTGAAAGATTAATTGTATGGGGTTAATTGTATGTTAATTGTATGGGGTTGCCTTGTATGTTACTTGTTGCTTCTCGCTTGCTGCATTTAATATTCTTTCTTTGTGTTTAGTCTTTGTTAGTTTGATTGGTATGTATCTCGGCAAGTTTCTCCTTGGTTCTCCTGTATGGGACTCTTTGTGCCTCTTGGACTTGATTGACTATTTCCTTTTCCATTTTGGGGAAATTTTCAACTATGATCTCTTCAAAAATTTTCTCATGCCCTTTCTTTTTTTCTACTTCTGAGACCCCTATAATTCAAAGGTTGGTGCATTTGATATTGTCCCAGAAGTCTCTAAAACTATCCTCAGTTCTTTTCATTCTTTTTACTTTATTCTGCTCTTCAGAAGTTGTTTTCACCATTTTATCTTCCAGCTCACTGATTCATTCTTCTGCTTCAGGTGTTCTGCTATTGATTTCTTCTAGAGTATTTTTCATTTCAGTAATTGTGTTGTTTATCTCTTTCTGTTTATTCTTTATTTCTTCTAGGTCTTTGTTAATTGATTCTTACATTTTCACCATTTTGTTTTCAAGGTTTTTGATCATCTTTACTATCATTATTCTGAATTCTTTTTCAGGTAGTTTGCCTGTATCCTCTTCATTTATTTGGACTTCTGTGTTTCTAGTTTGTTCCTTCATTTGTGTAGTATTTCTCTGCCTTTTCATTATTTTATTTTAACTTACTGTGCTTGAGGTCTCCTTTTCCCAGGCTTCAAGGTTGAATTCTTTCTTCCTTTTGGTTTCTGCCCTCCTAAGGTTGGTCCAGTCATTTGTGTAAGCTTTGTATAGGGTGAGATTTGTACTGAGTTTTTGTTTATTTGTTTGTTTTTCCTCTTATGGGCAAGGCCAGTGAGGTGGTAATCCTGTCTGCTGATGATTGGGTTTGTATTTTTTTGTATTGTTTTGTTTGTTGTTTAGATGAGGCATCCTGCACAGGATGCTCCTGGTGGTTGGGTGATGCCAGGTCTTGTGTTCAAGTGATTTCCTTTGTGTGAGTTCTCACTATTTGATACTCCCTAGGGTTAGTTCTGGAGAAGGCAATGGCAACTCACTCCAGTACTCTTGCCTGGAAAATCCCATGGATGGAGGAGCCTGAAGTCCACGGGGTTGCTAAGAGTCAGGCATGACTGAGCGACTTCACTTTCACTTTTCACTTTCATGCATTGAAGAAGGAAATGGCAACCCAGTCCAGTATTTTTGCCTGGAGAATCCCAGGGACGGCGGAGCCTAGTGGGCTGCCATCTATGGGGTCGCACAGAGTTGGGCACGACTGAAGCGACTTAGCAGCAGCAGCAGGGTTAGTTCTCTGGTGTCTAGGGTCTTAGAGTCAGTGCTCCCACTCCAAAGGCTCAGGGCTTGATCTCTAGTCAGGAACGAACATTCCACAAGTGGTTTGTTATGGCATTAAGTGAGATTAAAACAAATATCCAAAAACGAGAAACCAAAGATGAACCCCAGACAAATGGCAGTTACAAAATCAGGCAAAGAATATACACATATACCCACAAGCAAAGTGAAAACAGTCCAACAAAAATAAAGTACAGTAGATTGACCCAGCAAACAAGGTAAATCAAAAATTATATTTACCAGTTAAGAACAAAACTAACTAAAGCACAAACTGGAAAACAAAACTAAAGCAAGGTGTCAAGTGGGGAATAAAGCAATGAAAAAAAACTAACAAATATGTTGAGAGGAAAGGAAAGAAAGAAAAGAAAGAATAGATATGCAGAGTTAAATAGAGGTAGATGAAGACAATTTTTATACATTAAAGATTAACAGCAAGGGGAAAAGAACAGTAGGAAAGGCAAAGGCGCCCTCAGCCTTTGGAGCATTCCAGGGTTCCTTCCTGATTTTATCCTTTGAAACGCATTATAGTTGCGCTAGTCACCTCCTAGTCCTGCTTTCCTGCTTGTCCCCTCAGTCACCTTTAGAAGTCTTTTTGAGCCCTTACACTTTTGTTGACCTCATCCCCTGCTGGGTCTTTAGGGTCCCTACCAGGGTTCAGTCCCCATTGCTACTTGTTCCAACTCTCCCTGGGCTCTAGCCTGCCTTTCCTCATCCCCCCTTCTCTCTCCTCTCCCTTACCACGGTGGGATGCTTATTCCATACTGCCTCCTTCAATTATGGAGAGGATGTGAGTAATATTTAGAATCTCAGCAGCACTGCGAGGGGAGGGGGGAGGGACATGGGTATAGACCAGTTCTCTAAATCCTGAGATGCAAAACTTTTATTAGAGTGGGTAGAAGAAATCCCAATTGTACAGCAGCAACTTTTAAAAATATATATATTTGTTTTTATTTATTTTGACTGTGCCCGTTCATCGATGCTGTGTTGCAGACTTTCTGTAGTTGTGGCAAGGGGTGGGGGCAGCTTGTGGTGCACAGGCTTCTCATTGTGGTGGCTTCTCTTGTTGTAGAGCACAGGCTCCATAGGGCAGGCTCAATAGCTTTGGAGCAGGGGCTTAATTGCCCCAAGAAATACAGAGTCTTCCCAAACCAGGGATTGAACCTGTGTCCGCTACATTGGCAGGGAGATTCTTAACCACTGGATCACCAGGAAAGTCCATGCAGCAGCAATTTAAAAAATCATCCTCCCAACTTGCAGAGCTGCAAAGTCTGTTTTTATAAAATGGTGGTAACAATAGCCATGGTGTTGCAGGGAGATGAAATTGTGAATATGCCAGATAAAGTGTCAATATGCAATACCTGCGGGTGAATCTTGTTCCATGGTTTCCAGGAAACCATGCTCCATGGTTTCCTGGCTGCAAGTTGCTGGGCATGTGCCTGCTCCTCACCTCTCTGGCCACATTTCCTTTGTCCTTTCTCTCACAAAGGTCCTGTCACACTGGCCTGCTTTCTGTTTTCTTGAGACTCCAAGTTCTTTTCTGCCTCTTAGCCTTTGTGTTTGGTGAGTCCTCTGGGCTTTTTGCTGCAGTCTACCTGACTGGCACCTATCCTTCGAGTCTCAGCCTGAATATCTCTACCCTGAAAGGCCTTCTACTTTAAAAAAAAAAAAAAGGCCTTTTTCTTTTTTCTTCCTCTGAGAGGCCTTCTTGAACCCCAGCCTAAAGCAGTCACCCACCTCAGTCTCTCACCCAGCACCTTCTGCTTCATAGCTTTTATCTCATGTTTCTGAAAGTGCCATGTGAGCTCTAAAGTGTATGAAGGAGAGGAATAACAATCAATTTCAGAGAGGTGGTATGTGCGTGCTAAGTCGCCTCATTCATGTCCAACTCTTTGCGACCCTGTGGACTGGCTCCTCTGTCCATGGGATTTTCCAGGCAAGAATATTGGAGTGGGTTGCCATTTCCTTCTCCAGGGGATCTTCCCAAGCCAGGGATTGAACCCACATCTGTTAGTCTCTTCACTGGCAGAATGGCAGGCAGGTTCTTTACCATTAGCGCCAGAGAGGCGGTATAGCAAGGTAGTCAGGAGCACTACCTCTGGACCCAGACTGCCTGGGCTTTAACCTGAACTCCTTAACCTGAATTCTTCTTTTTTTCTTGAACTTTTCTGTGCCTCAGTTTCCTCATCTGTAAAATGAGGATAATAATATAAATGTTACCTTATAGTTTATTTGTGAGGATTAAATAAGCTCACGTATCTTAAGTACTTAGAAAAACATTTGGCACATTGTAAGTACTCTATTGCTGTTAGTTACTACTGCTGTGATTGTGTATTTTGGGTGACTAATGTCATGTATTTTTCCTGTTTGGTGGTGCAGAGTCCATCCGGCTTGCAAAAGACCTGGTCTAAAAATGACTGGCTACGCTAATGCCCAGTAATGCTGATTAACAGATTAAAAAAACAACATGAGTTCCATTGCCTGGGTTAGTCCTGCTAACTTCCAGATGGGTTACCCTTCTAGGCCTCTCTTTCCTCATCTGTAAGGAGATGATGATGATAGTGACTATATCACAGGGTTATTGTGAGCATTAAATAAGTTAATACAGTTGTATAAACAGCGCCTATGTCCTGATCAGATGCTCAGTAAATATTGACCGTTACTGTCCTCTCTCTGCCTCTCATTTCTGAGGCCCCAACACCTTGTTTGAGAGTGTTTTACTTTATAATAATTAGAAACTAATCTCTTAAGAATATGAAACTATCACACTTTGTTAGTCCATACTCTGTAAATGTTTAATCAACCATGATGGGGACTGGCTCATTTGACTTATTTTGCTTAGAGAATTTTTAAATGTTAAGTGTGATTGTTCCAGTTCACTAGTTTCTTTACTCATTGAATCTCTAGACTGTCAATTTACTGAGCAAACGGACAGTGTCGTCTTGTGTTCACTGCTGTGAGCACAGCGCTGACTCTGAAACCAGAGGCTGCCTGAGTGTGTGTCCCAGCCTTGCTGCTCCAGATGTGGGACCTTCCTCCTCTGTAAAGCAGGGCTGATGACAGCGCCTTCTTCCCTGGGTTGTTGTGGGCTCTCGAGTCTTTCACATAAGACACTTAGAGACTTACTCTTTTCATTGAGGCCTTTTCCCCTTCCTCTGTCCTCTCAATTTCCTTCCCTGCTTAGTTTTTCTCTAATGTTCCCATCATCACCTGATATCTATTTTACATATCTGTTCTGTTCGTTTCCTATGTCTACCATCCCATCACCACTAGAATGTGAGCTGCAGGAGGACAGAGATTTGTCTACATTCCTCACTGTGCTATGCCCTATCACAGTATTTGTGAAAGCATTACTGAAGTGGATAAGCATTAGCTGCTGGTAGATGACCCTAGAAGCTCAATGGACATGTTGAAAGTAACGGACTGAATGGGTGACTGAGGGATGTGGGACCTACTGGGGCAGGTGCTTCTGATTTGGGCCTTTTCCCTGCAGGTATCACTCGAGAAGGTACTTGGCATCACAGCCCAGAACAGCAGTGGCCTAACCTGTGACCCCAGCACAGGCCACGTGGCCTACCTGGCAGGGTGAGTGAGTGAGTTGGTGGCCTCGGCCTCTAATCCCTGATCCTGAATTCAGAGCTTCAAGTCTTCGATGAACCTCTCGGGGCCTCGGCTGTTCCCTCTGTAGACTGCAGATAATGCTGCCTGCCTCTGAAGGCTGTAGGAAGGATTCCATGGGCCCCTCTATGTCTAGAACGGTACCACCACCTGTGTGTGCTAAGAAAGCCTTATTGTGACTGCAGGCAAGAGGTGGTAGGGATTCTGGGAAAGACAGGAGGTTAAGATCAAAGCCATGGTTGGTGTCAGGCAGTCTGCGTTAGTGTCCTAGCTCCACCACACGTGCCCCTGTCCTAGCCTCTGCTTTGGTAAAACAGAACTAGTGATACCCTCCTCCTAGTAGTTAAGAGAGAACTGAAGGTCATCTGCAACCATTTATCCCACAAATACTGGTCTGACCTGCACTGTTCTAGGCACCGAAGGGACCCCTCACCCCCCCAGGGCAGGGCAAGGCCATAGTAATTCCTGACGAACAGCATCTATTACTGAGTCTTTGGGAAGAAGCCAGAATACAGGACAAGGGGGGCTCTTGAATCTGACGGGTATGGATTCACATCCCTACTCATTCCCTGATATGCTGGGGAGCCCTGGGCAAAGAACTGCTCTCTCTGGGCTTCACTTTCATCGTCTATGAAAAGCAGCTAAGACTGCTGACCTCACCTGGCGGTTGTGAGGATTTAAAGATGTTGTCACAGTAAGTCTTTCGTGGCTTCCCTGGTGGCTCACTGATAAAGAGCCTGCTTGCCAATGCAGGAGACGCAGATTCAATACCTGGGTGGGAAAGATCCCTTGGATAAGGAAATGGTAACCCACCCCAATATTCTTGCCTGGAAAATCCCATGGGCTGAGGAGCCTGGTGGGCTACAGTCCATGGGGTCGCAAAGAGTCGGACTCGACTTAGTAACTGAACAATAGTAAATCTTTCTTAGACCAGAGCCTGACAGTATAGTTACTACAGAGGGAGTGTTGACTTCTTTTTAAGAGTTTGTTGTTATTAGTAATAATGTTAAGTGCCGTAGAATTCTCAGCATAGATAATGGGGGAGGAGGGGACTAAAGAGAGAAGCATCTGAACAGAAAGAGCCTTGTCTATCAGTTCAGTTCAGTTGCTCAGTCGTGTCCGACTCTTTGCGACCCCATGGACTGCAGCACACCAGGCTTCCCTGTCCATCACCAACTCCTAGAGATTACTCAAACTCATGTCCATTGAGTTGGTGATGCCATCCAACCATCTCATCCTCTGTCGTCCCCTTCTCCTCTCACCTTCAATCTTTCCCAGCATCAGGGTCTTTACAAATGAGTCAGCTCTTCGCATCAGGTGGCCAAAGTATTGGAGTTTCAGCTTCAGCATCAGTCCTTCCAATGAACATTCAGGACTGATTTCCTTTAGAATGGAGTGGTTGGATCTCCTTGCAGTCCAAGGGATTCTCAAGAGTCTTCTTCAACACAACAGATCAAAAGCATCCATTCTTCAGTCTTCATCTTTCTTTATAGTCCAACTCTCACATAGCCTTGTCTGTATGTGGGCTTTTATGTTGGGAGTGCAGTCATCCCTGGACCCCAATACTCCCCTCAGTTTGGGCACATTTTCCTCTTTCTCCCCAGCTGTGTGGTGGTGATTTTGAACCCCAAGGAGAACAAGCAGCAGCACATTCTTAATACTGCCAGGTAAGCTGGGGCCTGGGCAAGGGGTAAGGGTGGGATCAAGGTCCTGACACACCCCTCCTTCCCCACACTGCCTGGAGGTGCTTGTAGGTGACTCATTCATTCACTCACTCGGTTCATTGACTCTCAGTTCAGGTTCAGGTCTGCTCTGTGCTAGGCACTGTTCCAGGTGTTGGGAACACAGCCATGAACAAAGGAGATAAGCTGCTCTCCATAGAGCTGACAGCTTGTGGGGGAGACAGACTAAACGAGCTGACAAGTTACTAGCCAACCATCAGACCTTGACTGTGGCTATGGAGGAAATCATGAGGATGTGTTCGGGCAGATTGGAAGGCAGAGGACCCTTATCAGAGTCTTATCAGAGTCTTATCAGAGCCCTCCTAGGGCTGAGACCAGGAGAAAGTGAGGGGGTGACTCATGTGAAGGTGTGGGGAGAGCATTGTACGCAGGGGGGACGGCAAGAGCAAAGTCATTTTCGAATCTCAGGTTGAATAGTAATCTCATGTTGTTTGAGGAGCAGTCAGGGTTTCATGGGTGAGCTGGAGCCCCGGAAGTCAGATCACCTTGGGGAGTGGTTGACTATCATGCTGATTGCAGAGAGGAGCCACTAGAGGGCGTTTGTGGGCTGAGGCTATGCTTAGCCACCCAGCCCTCTAGCATGCTATTTCCCTTCCCCGCTTTCCTTTTTCCCACAGAATGTACTCCTTTTTGATACACTTTGTAATTTCCTCAGTGATGATATTTACTGTCTCTCTCTACAAGATGAACTGTCTTGGGGCAGGGACTTTCTCTTAGTTAATTTCTGTGTCCGTATACCCTAGGTCAGTGTCTAGGATATTGACAGCACTTGTTTCCTGAATGAATGAATGTAATTTGGGTTTTAGAAAGATCCCTTCAGCTGCCACTTTACTGGGAAAGACTCTTGGCCCTGAGAAGGCCCAAATTGGTACCTGGGGTCCCATTGATCACTGTGTCATCCTTGGGCTTTGGTCCCCACTGAATTGTGACCTTAGGGAGGCACTCCACTTCAACTCTTTTTTTCTTTGGCTTGTGGGATCTTAGTTCCCTGACCAGGAATCGAACCTGAGACCTCGGCAGTGAGAGCTCAGATTCGTAACCACTGGACAACCAGTCCTTCCCCTCATTGCAACTTTTTATTCTACAAATACTGCACAGATAGCTCAAGCTTAGCTCCTTTGGCCCAGCTCTCCAGGTGGACAGAGAAGATATGGGTTTTCTTCTTCCTGTATAATCCCTAAGGCAGGGTCTCTGAGATATGGTTTGGCAGATACAGCTTCTCTCTTAGAAGGGGCTTCTTGGACCCTTAGCTCTGACTGTGGGTTCTGTCACTGGTGATGAGTGCAGAGGTGGGTCCCCATCCAAGGGTGTTTATTCACTATGTGATCTCAAATGAAATACTTCTTGTATGTATGTCTTAAATATCGGACTTACTCGACAACCTTCAAAGTTTTCTACACAAAAATCCAGATGCCCTCTCATTTTGGAAAAGTGAGAGGTTCACATCTCTGGGGCCCACATTCTCCATGGCAGGAATGGGCTGGAGCTTGGTGGCATTTGTCAGAGTCTCCCTTGGCCAATTCTTCTCATCCTCCCAGTTGCCTCCCCGATGCCCACAGGTGGTAGAGTAGGTCACCTTGATCTGAAGCAGATAGCCAAAAAGAGTCCACTCTAAGTCACTAGTGGATCTGTCTTAGGAGGCAGTGTGGGCAGAATAGAGGTTTTCATCCTGGCTGTATTTCAGAGTCACCTGATCCTAGGCCTCACCCTCAATGAAGGCTGAATCAGTTAGTCTGGAATAAGGCGTAAGCACTGACAATTTTTAGACTGTTTACATTGAAATAATTTCAGACTACAAGAATAGTACAAAGAGCATCTGTATACCTTTCACCCATATTTCCCAGATGCTAACATTTTACCAACGTTTGCTTTATCATTCTCTGTCTCTGGGAATTTTTTGCTGGTCAAGTGGTTAGGACTCCATGCTTTCACTGCCAAGGACCCACGTTCAATCCCTGAGTGGGGAACTACAATCCCATGAGCTGTGCAGTATCCACTCCATCAGGGCTTGAGGTTTGGGGGAGGAAGGGGCCTTTGCTTTTATAAAACCTCATTTCTCTGTGCACTGCCCCTGCTTCTCCTGGCTGCAGGACGGGCTGGGAACGCACTGGGTGCTGTGCTGGGCCAGCTCACAGCACTGGCTCCAGGGAACTGTGTTCGCTCACCTCTCCTGGCCTCTTGGGAGCGAGGGATGCACCAAGTGCTGTGAGCACAGCCAGGCTGGGGTCTGGCTGCCCACCCTCAGTGCCAGTGATCAACCCCTTTCCTTGTCCCCAGGAAGTCTCTGAGTGCTCTGGCCTTCTCCCCTGATGGAAAGTACATAGTGACGGGGGAGGTGAGTGGTGATCATGGTGGAGTGGGTGGGAAGGGGTCTTGGGGCCATTCCTCTGGCCCCAGCAGACCTGAGGAATCCCTGGAATAGCTCCTTCCTGGACCAGGAAAGCCCCATGGCAGACGCGGCAAGGGGCAGGGGGGATGGCTTTCAGGCACACCCTGGGGCAGTACCAGCTTCGGCCCTGACAGCCCCTCCAGCTTCACCTGGTGCAGAACCCAGCAGCAGTAAATGGCACCATCTTCCCCAGAATGGGCACAGGCCTGCTGTACGTATCTGGGACGTGGAAGAGAAGAGTCAGGTGGCGGAAATGCTGGGCCACAAGTATGGCGTGGCCTGCGTGGCCTTCTCGCCCAACATGAAGCACATTGTGTCCATGGGCTACCAGCACGACATGGTGCTCAACGTCTGGGACTGGAAGGTAAGAGCTGGTGGGTGGGTGGCAGATAGCCAGCCACCAGAACACCCTGAGTCTCAGGCATGGGGGGAACTAAATGAGATAACTTGGTAAAGCGTTTATCCAACACACTTTTTGTTTGTTTAATAATTTTTATTTTTGGCTGGGTCTTTGTTGTGCAGGCATTTCCCTAGTTGCAGCACTTGCGCTTCTCATTGTGGTGGTTTCTCTTGTTGCAGAGCACGGGGTTCTAGGGTGTGCGGGCTTCAGAAGTTATGGCTCATGACTCTAGAGCACAGGCTCAGTATTTTTGGTGCATGGGCTTAGTTGCTCTGCGGCATGTGGGATCTTCCCGGACCAGGGATTGAACCCGTGTCTCCTGCATTGGCAGACGGATTCTTTGCCACTGAGCCACCAGAGAAGCCCTATCCAGCAAATATTTCTTGAGTACCTACTGCATGCCAGTCCCTATTTTAGGCACTTATTGTAGGGCATGTGACAAGCTCTCAACTAGTGGAACGTATCATTCGTTTTATAGTGACCAGCTGTGACCTTGAGCAAGTGACCTAACCTTTCTGTGAGTCTGTTTCCTCATGTGTAAAATGGATGTTATAGTATCTACTTTGTTGAGTTGGGAGAACTCAGGGCTATGCGTTGGAAGGCTGGGCTTGGGAACAGCTTGGGGAGGACTTAAAGTTGGCAGAAGTGGGTGTCAGTCCTGGCTCTGTTCATCACCTGCTCTGTGACCTTGAGCATGTGACAGTCCTGCCTGAGCATGACAGGGTAGGGGGAGAAGCACCTCCCTCATAGGACTTTTGAGGGGCTCCCTGAGCTGTCCTGTGAAGGGCTCAGCGGGGCCCAGAGTGAGAGCCCAATCTCCAGCAATGTGGGTTGCATTGTCCTTCGCTTCTAGCTGTGGCCATCTTCAACACCATGTGTGGGCTGCAGGGCTTGGACTCCTGAGGAGAGTTTTGGAACTTCCTCTCATGTGGAAGCCCTTCCAGGCCTCAGTCTCATCTGTGTTGGGAATGATAAGAGGGCCACATGTAGGTTTCCCCAAAAAGAAGGGCCTGAGGAAGACAACCTTGGAGCAGGCGAGGGCAGGGAGACACAGGGCTGAGAGAAGAGGCTCAAAGAGTCTGGTGAGGTGGGTGCTGGGGTGACCTTCTCTTCACTGATTCTTCCAGAAAGACATCCTGGTGGCCTCCAACAAGGTATCATGCCGGGTCATTGCCCTCTCCTTCTCAGAGGACAGCAGCTATTTTGTCACTGTCGGGAACCGGCATGTGAGGTTCTGGTTCTTGGAAGTGTCCACTGAAGCAAAGGTGCGTTTTCATCCCCACTCCCTCAGCAAGGCCTAGGGGAGAACCATCAGGGGTAGTAGGGACTCCTGGTTCTACCATGATTCGGGGGCAGTGGCTGTCTAGCCTCTCAGTGGGGTGGCCTTCTGTCTCCGGGACTGCTCTCCAGATGCTGACTGACTGACAGACCTGCCGGGAAACCTCTTCTCCCCTGCTGGGCCCTGGGGCCACCCCTCATTCTGGGCCTGTGGCCTCCAGTCACTCTGTCTGGAAGCGTGCGTGTTCTGTTCTGCCTTCTCCACTTGGAGGTGTTTCTGAGAGTTCTCCATTTAGCTGTGTCCTGTCCACTGGCCAGGAGAGCCTGTCGTGACCTGGCTGGGGACTGGGCCGTCTGTTCAGGGTCTCACTGTGCCCCACTCTCCCTCCAGGTCACAGGCACGGTGCCCCTGGTGGGGCGCTCAGGCATCCTGGGTGAGCTGCATGACAACGTCTTCTGTGGTGTGGCTTGTGGCCGGGGCCGGATGGCAGGCAGTACCTTCTGTGTGTCCTGCTCGGGCCTCCTCTGCCAGTTCAACGAGAAGAGGGTGCTGGAAAAGTGGATCAACCTGAAGGTACCCCAGCCCCTCTCTCCGCTGTCAGTGTGGGAAACACTCTTCCCGTGACATGTGTCTCCAGAGACACACAGCACTGCCCTTGCGTCATAGCTGGTCACACCAGCTCAGGCTCTGATTTCTGGTTCTGCTTATTTGATTCTGGGAGAGGCTGTCTGTAAAATGGGACTACTACTGTCTGCCTCACCAAGTTGATAGGGGTGTCCTGTGGGATGGTACATGTAAGGCACTTAGCACATTGCCTGGCCTCTGTAACGGGTCAGGGTTATAATTGCTTCCCCATCACTGTGATCCAGTTCACATTTGTTTTCTTTACTGGGCATTCTTAGCTGGTGGGAGGACCGCCATTTTTTCCTTGTTTAATTTAAGGTGTCATGGGCTTAATAATTTTTATATTATTTTTACAATCAAAGACTATATAAAATACATAAAAATTTAGAATGCATGTATATGTATGGCTGAGCCCTCCACTGTTCACTTGAAACTATCACAACATTGTTAATCGGTTATACCCCAATAGAAAATAAAAAGTTTAAAATATATATATAAAATTTTAAACTAAAAAATGATATATCAGTGAATTGCAGAACCGCTTTTCTTCAGGATCTGAGGGTTTGAGTCCAAGTTGTCTTTCCATCCTGGGATTGGGTGCCTGTTTGGCTGTTAGCAGACGCATCAGAGTTTTCCTGATTATCCTATTCCTGCTGTTGCAATTCTCCTCCAGACCTCCAGCTTCAGGGTTAACGGCCTGGCAAGAGGCATGTAGAGAATTCTGAGCCTTTTCTGTCTTTCCTAGTTGGTTAAATATCGTTTAAAAAAATTTTTTTTTGTTTTGATTTTTAATTTTTACCATGTTGTGTTGTTTCTGCCATACAGCATCACGAATCAGCCATAATTATAATACATCCGCTCCCTCTTGAGCCTCCCTCCCATCCCCCATCCCACCCCTCTAAGTCATCACAGAGCACCAGACTGGGCTCCCTGTGGTATATAGCAGCTTCTTTCTAGCATCCACTTTATACCAGATAGTGCATATATGTTGATGCTACTTTCTCCATTCGTCCCTCCCTCCCCCACTTTTGTGTCCACAAGTCCATTCTCTATATCTCCAATCCTGCCCTCCAAATAGTTTCATCAATACCATTTTTTAGATTCCATATATATGCGTTAATATACTGTATTTATTTTTCTCTTTCTGGCTTACTTCACTCTGTATAACAGGCTCTAGGTTCCTCCACCTCACTTGAACTGACTCAAATGTGTTCTTTTTTATGGCTGAGTAATAGTCCATTGTATATATGTACCACATCTTTATCCATTCATCTGTCGATGGACAGCTAGGTTACTTCCATGTCCTGGTTATTGTAAACAGTGCTGCACTGAACATTATTTTTCTCATTTGAATCCTCCTGCTAGAACTACTGAAGCTTTTAAGCAAGTCAGATGTTTCGACAGATAGATGCTTAGTCCCTGAGTAGTGGTCTTAGCGACTTCTTAGAGACTCAGAAACTGAGTCTGTAGATTTGGCATAACTACTCTAAGCTATATCTAGAAGTTTGGCATGTCCTACCCCTTTATGTGCATGCCCTGGTTGAATGGATAGTCCTTTCTAAAAGATAGTAACTTTTTTCTGTTCTGCTTTGAAGTATATACTCTCTATGAAGTTATTTTTAAGCAATGTGGAATCAAATTTAAGCTTAAAATCCAACACTTCTAGTGCAGGCGACCTCGGAGGTCACAATCAGCTAAGGAGATGTTTTCCATACACAGCTAAGTTCCTCTATAGCAATGGCAACTCTGCCCCAGTTTATGCCTTTGTGTGCCTTTCTGCCACCTTTTCTTCTACAGTGACTGTACATTGTATCTTGATTTCAAAAATCTTAAAATCTGCAAAAAATGGGTTTCTTTTTTTAAAAAATATTTTTTATTTTGTGTTGGGGTATAGCTGATTAACAATGTCACGATAGTTTCAGGTGGACAGCAAAGGAATTCAGCCATGCATATTCATGTATCCATTCTCCCCCAAACTTCCCACCCATTCAGGCTGCCGCACAACATCGAGCAGAGTTCCCTGTGCTGCACAGTAGGTCCTTGATGGTTATGCATTTTAAATATAGCAGTGTGAACCTGTCCATCCCAAATTCCTTCTCTCTTCCTGTAACTGCCTCCCAGCAACCATAAGTTTGTTTTCTAAGTCTATGAGTCTCTTTCTGTTGTGTAAGTAAGTTCAAAAAATGGGCTTCTTAAATCCAAAAACTGTAAAGCTTTACTGGAGGCCCAAGGCTGACCCGATCTGGGCCACATGAAGCAGCAGGTCCACTTGGGTCCCCTTTGCCCCCACAGGTCTCCCTGTCTTCCTGCCTCTGTGTCAGCCAGGAGCTCATCTTCTGTGGCTGCACTGATGGGATAGTCCGCATCTTCCAAGCCCACAGCCTGCAATACCTCACCAACCTGCCCAAGCCGCACTACCTGGGGGTGGATGTGGCCCAGGGCCTGGAGCCCAGGTACTGCCCGGCACGGGGAGGGAGAGGGGCCCACCTAGAGTCTGTCTGCCGGTATCCACCCATGCTTCCTGATCCGTCTGCTTACTGGCCGCCCTGGGCTGGAAGCAGGATACAGACCCTAAGGAGGCAGCAGAATCTCGTGATGTCTGTAGTCTAATGCGTACATGCTCAGTCACTCAGCTGTGTCCAGCTCTTTGCGACCCTATGGACTGTAGCCCACCAGGCTCTTCTGTCCATGGCATTCTCCAAGCAAGAACACTGGAGTGGGTTGCCATGCCCTCCTCCAAGGGATCTTCCCCACCCAGGGACTGAACCCAAGTCTCTTATGTCTCCTGCACTGGCAAGCGAGTTCTTTACCACTAGCACCACCTGGGAAGCCCCAAGGTGCTGGATGATGGATGAGTACATAAACATTTGAAAAATAAAAAAGATCATTTCAGATAGTCGTAAATGCTTTGCTGAAATAAAGCAGGGACTCCAGGAGAGGATCTTGGGATGGGGCTGTGTTGATTGGGTGGCTGGGCGAGGCCTCTGCAGTGAGATGAGGCCAGCTGTGAGGAGAGCTGGGTCCTGACAGCGAATGCAAAGGCCTTAAGGGGACAGCGCACTTGGCTCAGTGTGTTATGGGGACAGCAGGAGCCCCGGTGTGCCGGGTGGGAGAAGGATAACAAGTGATGGCATTGATGGGAGCTGCTGAGAGGGGCTTGGAGCCTATCCTCACTGCTACAGGGATTTTTGATCATGTGTTGAGGCCAAGAGAGAAGGCCATGATCCTGTGCTCAGAGAGGATGGATCTTGTGCCGAGTAAAATGAGGGGACAGAAATGTTGACAGAAGTTGAAAACTCACACACTCTCAGGGGCCAGGCGGAAGCTTCCAGTTTACAGCCTGTGTATTAGAAGCAAAGCAAAGGAAGAAGATGGAGGAGTGGGAGAGCTGGGTTACCACAGAGATCATCAGGGGTGGCACTGCCAGGCAGGGGGCTGCTCGGGTGTCGCCAGAGGCAGCTGTCGCTACTCACGGTGGCATTGGTGGCAACTGATGACTCACGTGGCCCTGTCAGCTTCCTCTTCCACAGGAAGGCAGAGGCCACCTACCCGGATACAGTGGCGCTGACCTTTGACCCCACGCACCAGTGGCTGTCCTGCGTGTACAAGGACCACAGCATCTACATCTGGGATGTCAGAGACATCAACCAAGTAGGCAAGGTGTGGTCGGAGCTCTTCCACAGCTCCTACGTCTGGAACGTGGAGGTGAGCCCCTCTCTCCTTCCCCCCACCCCTGCTCAGCCCCAGCCTGGGGGGCTCAGCTGAGAAAGCTTCTGCAGAGTTTGGGAAGCCTGTTCAGCCATTCCTGCCAGAGATACTCCTGGACCCCAGTATGTGCCAGGTGCTGTTCTGGGTGCCGGGGACACGTCTGAACAGGAAGCTGACAGGAGTCCTCATCTGGAGCTTACATCCGGGTGGTAGAGTACACCTATAAACAAATCAGTCAAGAACATGCCGAGTACAATACCCTTCTGAAGAAAGACAAAGCCACCCAGCAGGGAAGGGGATCAAAGGTGCTATTTTAGAAAGGAGAGTGGTCAGGGAAAGCCTCTCAGACGGTGTGACCTTCTTCTAGTGGGGGACCTGCAGGAAGAGAGGGGTGAGGCTAGCCACCACTGGGGGTATGGCAGGCGCAAAGGCCCCACAGCAGGAGCGTGTGTACCTCAGGGAGCTTTCTGTCAAGGGCATTTGTGTACTTTATTGCTTTTTTTTGTATTATTTTATTTTTGGCTGTGCTGGACCTTTGTTGCTGCGAGGACTTTTCCCTAGCTACAAAGAACAGGGGCTACTCTAGTTGCGGTCCGCCGACTTCTCTTGTTGAGGAGCATGGGCTCTAGGGCTTCAGTACTTGCAGTTTGCAGGCTGTAGAGTCCAGGCTCAACAGTTGTGGTGCATGGGCTTAATTGCTCCACGGTATGGGGGATCTTCCCAGACCAGGGATTGAACCTGAGTCTCCTGCATGGGCAGGCAGGTTCTTTACCACTAAGCCACCAGGGAAGCTTGCTTTTTTTGTTTTTTAAGTATTAAAGAAGTCTTTATTTTCTGAGAATGAATCTGTGGGACTTTTTCTCTGAAGGTATTCTAAGTACTTCTTGCAGATAAAGCAACTCTTGGAGAAAGAATTATATCCAATTTTTTTTTTTCTTTCTGAAAATGTTTGTCCTAGATAAATGATGTTTTCAGTGGCCCAATTCAAGACTGTGAGAAATAACTTCATCCTTTTGAATAGACATTATCCAGCTCTTTGCTTGAATGTATCTGCCTTCATGGATCTGACATTTCTGTTGCTTGTACTTTTCTCACTTAAGAACATTTTTTAAAAATAGTTTTCAAAATTTATGTATAAAAACATTCTTCTTGGGAAAAAACATGAAATATTACAGATAAAGCTAAAGTCTGTTTTGATCTTTTAATAACTTTTTACTCAAAGTCTATTTTATCTAACATTACTATAGACATGCAAAACTCCCTTTTAGTTACTATTTGTATGGAGTATCTTTTTCTCTGCCTTCACTTTCAACTTGTATGTATCTTTGAATATGTCATGTCATGAACATGTATGTATCTTTCTTAAGTCTTTGATGTTTCTTAATTCTTTTATCACTACCTTCTTTTGTGTTTAATTGATGTTTTTATATTGTTCCATTTTGATTTGCTTCTCATTTCTTCTTTTGTATATTTTAAAGTTACCTTCTTCCTAGACAATTATAAATAACATCTTATATTTTTAACAAACTAGTTTGAAATAATAGCAATTTAGGTTCAATAGTTTACAAACACTCTGCTCTTTATGTAGTTCTGTCCCTCCTCCTCTATGTTGTTATTGTCACAAATTATTCAATATCTTCATCATTGTATTTTCATCAACACTGATTTTATTTTGTTATTTATTTGTGTATTTTTGGTTGCACTGCATCTTCATTGCTCCCTGCAGGCTTTCTCTAGTTGTGGCGTGAGGGCTTCGCTTGTTGCAGAGCATGAGCTCTAGGCCCTCAGGCCTAGAGCACAGGCTCAGTAGCTGTGGCACATGGGCTTAGTTGCCACGAGGCATGTGGAACCTTCCCAGACCAGGCATCAAACCTGTATCCCCCGCATTGCCTGGCAGATTCTTAACCACTGGACCACCAGGGTAGCCCTGCAACTTACTATTTTTCACAAAAATCCAATAGTAGGTCATAGTGTTGTTATCAAAGTGGTTATACTGAATTGCCCTTTGCCTTGTTCTCTGGGGACTATAGGTGTATCCTGAGTTTGAAGATCAGAGAGCTTGTCTACCATCAGGATCTTTTCTGACTTGTTCCTCAGACAATACCATCCGCTTCTGGAACATGGACAGCAACCCTGACTCTCACTGGCAGAAGAACATCTTCAGTAATGTGAGTAGCTTCGTTGTGATCTGTCTGTTAGGAGGAACAAAGGCCTACTTGAAGCTAAATATGGGGGCAGGAAAGAGTTTTATGGAACCTGGGTGTTTGACTTCACTAGGGGCAGGAACCAGGAACCAAGGCATGTCAATTTCTGTCTCCTCTCTCAGTTTTCTTTCTCTCCCTCTCTAAGTGGCATGGTCTTTCCTCTTTGCTTTCCTTTGAAAGAAAGGAAAGCATATACTACATATACTACTCTCTTAAGTATATGTAAACACAACTACTCCAGGCAATCCAATATACTCAACAAAGAAGAAATTGTTCCCCAAGTCTTGGGTTAGAACCCCCCTGGGGAGCATGTGATGGGCTGAACCAGGCAGAAGCATCCCCTGTCTAGCAATAACTGGGGCCGGAGATGGGGTGCTGGCATGATGAGAGGCTGGGGAGAAAACACTTTGCTGGAGAAATGTTGGGTTTTGCTAGGTCAGTGAGAGAGCTTCTCTGGGGAGCTAAGGCCTAAATCATGTATTCATTGATTCTGCAGATACTACCAAGGTCAGTGCTAGGTGCTGTGTTGCATGCTGGGGACACATCAGTGACTAAGACACATTCTTCTCCTCTCAAAGCACCTCTAGTCTAGTGGAGGAGGCAGACAATGAGCTGGTAACTACACACACTATGATATAATCCCAAACATATAAAGTACCATGAAAGAAAGTTGTGAGGTACGAGTAGGATACATGAATAGTCATCTGACTCTATCTGTGGCACTCGGGGCAGCCTCTAGAGGAAGAGATAACTGAGATGGGAGGATTGGGCAGCATAAAGAGGGGAAGGGAGAGTGTTCTACACCAAGGGACAAAGGCCTTGAGATAGGAAAGAGCTTGGTGAGTTGGAAAATCCAAAAGAGGTCAGTGTTACCAGAACACAAAAGGCCCTTAATGCAGAATGTGTATCCAAGTGCACCACTACCCTCACTAGCACCTCTTCTCCCCCAACCATCTCTTCTGCACCTGTGATATATGTGTTGTATTTGGTTATACATAATAGAAAAATCCAAACACGATGGAAAAGGTTTGATTTTCTGGCTCATAAAAATAGCCTAGCGATAACAAGTCCAGGCTGTTTTGGCAGCTTTAGGAATCACTTAGAGACTTAAGAACCACCCATTTTGAAGGAGTGGCCCTTGTCCTCATGACCCAATATGGCTACTGGAGCACCAGTCATCACATCCAAGTTCCAGGCAGCTGGACAGTGGGAAGGAAGAAGAGTTTTCACTTGCTTTACATCTCATTGACCAGAATTTATTCACACAACTTCATCTAGATGCAAAGGAGTGTGGGAGACATAGTAATTATTCTGAGTAATAAAGTTTCCAAGTCAGAATCAGAGTTCTGTTCCTCATCAAGATTGGGAGACTGGCTGTAAGGAGACACAATGGCAGCAGTGCTTCAGAGGTTCTCATAGCACTGACCTCAGCCCTTTGCTCTCTGCAGACCCTGCTGAAGGTCGTGTATGTGGAGAACGACATCCAGCACCTGCAGGATATGTCACACTTCCCAGACCGGGGGAGCGAGAATGCGATGTCCGTGGACGTGAAAGCTGGGGTTCGAGTCATGCAGGTCAGTCCTGATGGCCAACACTTGGCTTCAGGCGACCGAAGTGGAAATCTGAGGCAAGTGGGCCCTGGTGGTGTCTAGTGCACACCTCCCAGCTTGGGCTCGGGTGCTCAGGGCAGTGGGGAGGAGCCCTGGCCTTGGCACCTCCAGCTGCCTGTTGGCAATGAGGGAGTGTGGGTAGCAGTCTGGTAGCCAGCCCGCCCTGGGAACATAAGTTGAGAAGGGGCTTCCAGAAGGGCTGGCTCCCAGTATATCAGAGTAGGCACCTAGGGACTGGGCCATGTGAACTTTGCCTCCCAAGTGGACAGGCACACTTGCATGACTCCAGGGCAGGGTGACACCTTCTTGGCCCCGTGGTACCACTGCTGAACCCTCAGAGAAGATGCCAGCTGGACCTGGGAGTGCTAGGAGAGGGGTCAGAGGGTGGGACATCTGAGGGCTCAGGCTGTTTACCACCCTGCAGAGGTTTTTCAAGATGTGACAGGCCCAATAGGTGCTGACAGAATATGAGCCCTGTCTTAGGAATCAGGTGTAATGTGAAAGGGTACAGCAGTGACCACCTAGGTGCTGGGTCTCTGGTGGGATGGGAGGGACCAGGGGTGCTGGAGACCATGTGCCGCGTGAAGGGGCAGCTGCCACACAGCACCAGTAGCACAGCCTCCATGTTGTCACATATTCCTGTCATCCAAGAAGAACAGACAAGAACTTTTTGTGCAGATTTTTTTCTGTGAAATTTTATGGTCTTTAAATGTTGGCAGCTGTTTTGATGTCAGTCACTGATGAGGCAAACCAAGCAGGTCAGGGGGCTGCTCCAGTTGACAGCATCCTGGTGTGAATGGCGGAAAACAGTAAGGAGAGCTAACAGGGGCATCATGGTCTTCTCCCAGGCCGGCCACTGGCCTGAGCACCGTGGGTATCGACTGATTTAATCCTCTCAGCGACCCGCTGGTGTCAGTGCTGTTATTCTCACCACTTTCAGATGGATTCGCTGAGGAAAGAGGGGCTGAGTGGCCAGGTTAAGATCACACGGGTGGAGAATGGAGGAGCTGGGATGACCATTTCTTATTTCAGTCCTGGATGACCTGTTGTCTGATTTCATTTGGCAAGAATATGAGGAAAGTCTAGATTTGAGACCCTTTAAGAATGAGAGGGAGTTCCCTGGCAGTCCAGTGGTTAGGACCAGGCTTTCACTGCCAAGGGCCTGTGTTCAAACCCTGGTCAGGGAACTAAGATCCTGCAAGCCCTGGGGTGTGGCAAAAAAAATTAGAATCAAATGGTCCCACCTGGGGGACTTCTCTGGTGGGCCAGTGGCTAAGACTCTGCTCTTCCAATGCAGGGGGCTTGGGTTTAGTCCCTAGTCAGAGAACTAGATCCCACCTCTACAGCTAAGAGTTTGTGTGCCACAAGTAAGACCAGGCACGCCCAAATAAATAAATATATATATTTTAAATGTTCCCACCTGGGACTTCCATGGCAGTCCAGTGGTTTGGACTCCGTGCTCTCACTGCCAAAGGCCCAGGTTTGATCCCTGGTCAGGTAACTAAGATTCCACAAGCCACACAATGTGGCCAAAAACCAAAAGCTGTAAAACAAACAACAAAAATGTTCCCACCCATAGGGCCTATCTTTGAGTATGACCTCTGACCCCTGCCCTACCCCCAGTGATCACCTCTGATAACAGCCCTCCCCTAACCTTTGTTCCCCCAGGGACCATTGTAGATGTTAACCCATGGAACCACAAGGGGCCGGTGCCTGCTTAGGTGCTCCCAGGCTTGGGAGCTTTCTGGGTGCCGAGAAAGGTCAGGCACCTCTAGACTAGTTGGCCAGGGTAGGGTATTCTCTATGTCCCCCACCCAGCTGCTCTGGCCTTTTCTAGTGGGAGCAGAGCACCTGGGGCTGAGGGCTGGGGGCGGTGGACAGGGTACAGCAGGCAGTGTGTGTCTCCCAGGATCCACGAGCTGCACTTCATGGACGAGCTGGTCAAGGTGGAGGCCCACGATGCTGAGGTGCTATGCCTGGAGTACTCCAAGCCGGAGACAGGTGAGCCTGTGGTGGGGGCACGGCCTGCCTGGCAGAGCCACCGGGATGAGTAGTTCGTGTCTGGTGGGACTGTGAATGACAGCTAGGGCTCCTGCACTTAATAAGAATTGCTGTTGCCAAGCCCCGGGACCAGGGTGGCTAGGACTCCTGAAAGCAAGACCCAGCAGGCAGGACTTGACCTGCTTACCCTGGTCCCCAGCACCCCAAGCTGCTCAGGCTAAAGAGGTGAAGGTTAATGAGTAAATGTATGGATGAGCTCCTTTTCTGCTGGAAAAGATAGATCAGTAGTGAAACATATTCTTTTGAGAAACTTCGATGCTTACAGTAAATTTATGAGAATATTATCATGAACACCTGTAGATTCTTCACAGCTCCCCAAGTCTTTTCTTTAAATCCTGTCTGACCCTTTGACTATATATAGGATGTTATCTGCTTCCCCTCTCTCCTTTTCTCTGGATTTGTGCGTGTATGTGTAATAATACATTATGTGTAATAATTCATAATAAAATAATACCATGTATGTAATTTTTTTCTTTTTTAAAAAAAAATAATTGTATTTGTTTATTTTTGGTTGTGCTGGGTCTTCATTGCTGCGTGAGCTTTTCTCTGGTTTTTGAAGGGGACTACTCTCTAGTTTCAGCACATGGGCTTCTCGTTGCAGTGGCTTCCCTTGTTTCAGAGCACAGGCTCTAGAGTGTATGGACTTCAGTAGCTGTGGCACATGGGCTCAGAAGTTGCAGCTCTCAAGCTCTAGAGCAAGGGTTCAGTAGTTGTGGTGCATGGGCTTAGTTGCTCCATAACATGTAGGATCTTCTCAGACCAGGGATCGAACCCATGTCTCTTGCATTGGCAGGCAGGTTCTTTACCACTGAGCCACCAGGGAAGCCCTGCTGTTGTTTTTTTTTTTTTCTTTTGCTAAACCACTTGAGAGAAAGTTAAAACTACTTGAAAGGAAGACTTGCTGTCCTTTCACTCTTAAATGCTTCTGTAAGCGTTTCCCAGCAACAGGAACATCTATTTACCTGACCACAGTGCATCTTATTCAATGTGCATCTTATCAAATCTGTCATCTCTCTTGGGCTTTTTTTTTTTCTTTTGGCCATGGTGGGTCTTTGCTGCAGAACACTGGTTTCTCTAATTGCTTCTCTAGTGGCGGCTGCTCAAGACATGTGGGATCTTAGCTCCTCAACCAGAAATTGAACCCTTGTTCCCTGCATTGGAAGGCAGATTCTTAACCACTGACTCACCAGAGAAGTCCCTATCTTGAGTTCTTATTCCCATTTTGCCAGTTTTCCCAATGTTGTCTTTTGCAGCACCTTTGTCTTTCCAGTCCAGGTTCACGCTTTAGTTGGCGCAGCTCTTTTGTCTCCTTTGTTCTGGTGCTGACTTGAGGCTTATTTCCACAGCCTTATTTAGTTTGTCTTTATGACTTTGTCTTTCTGCAGAATACAGACCAGTCGTCTTATAGAATTTCCTTCCATTTGGATTTGTTTGTTTTCCTCATGTTTTGATTCTGATGATACCTTTTTGGCAGGAATATAATCTTGGTGAAGCTATGTACTAATGAGGTTAATATTCTTTCCCATGCTCTTCTTTTCTCCTTCCTTTTCCCATACTCTGTTCTGCCAAATTTCCTCTGCATTTCTTTTCATCCAGTACACCTCTCCTGAGCTCCCCTCCACCTCAGATCGCTGTTAGGCCTTAGACCTAGCAGGTGCCCAGAGTAAGCACCATTTGAGGGGGCCAGCACGAAGGTCCAGTGTCGGAAGAAATGGTGGCAGCAGATGGTCAGTAGGACTGACGTGAGGCTCATGCAGCCAGAGTGTAGAGAGTGGAGGGGGTGGGTGGAGTTTTAGAGAGGTTGAAAAGTTGGCAGAGCCTCTCATGGCTGCCAGTAGCTGGACTGGGTAGGAAGGCGTGCTGGGCTTTGCCGAAGTGTCTGGTGTGGGCACGGGTGGAGGAGTGTCCATGTGTACATCAAGATTCATCCTGCACGACCCGGTGGCGAGGAATGCAGAGTGCCAGGGTCTGGGGCAAGTTGGCTGCAGTTAGGAAACCAGAGATCCCCTTCCTCAAGGCCAGGAAAGCTCAGTCACACTGCTGTCTGAGAGGCCAGGCCATCAAGCGGGCCCCCAGGAACCCAGGACCTCCCTCTCACCTACAGGGCTGACTTTGCTTGCCTCGGCCAGTCGGGACCGACTGATCCACGTGCTGAACGTGGAGAAGAACTACAACCTGGAGCAGACCCTGGACGATCACTCCTCATCCATCACGGCCATCAAGTTCACTGGTAAGCCCCTGCCTTCTATATCCTGCACCTCATTCAGTGGGCTCCTTCGGCTGCACATAACAGCAGAGCCCCCTTCAGCTTAGAGAAAAAAGGGAGCAGCCACATCGGATTCAAAGCCCAGCTGGATCCAAAGGTTGAATGTTTTTTTAAATTTATTTATTTAGTAGGCTGTGCTGGGTCTTAGTTGTGGAACTCAGATCTTCCATCTTCATTGCAGCATGCAGGATCTTTAGTTGTGGCATGAGAGCTCTTAGTGTGCGATCTAGTTCCTAGACCAGGGATTTAACCTGGGCCCCTTATATTGGGAGCACAGAGTCTTAACCACTGGACCACCAAGGAAGTCCCCCGAAGGTTGAATTCTTTTAAGTTATCCAGACTGTCTCCCTCTGTCGGCTGTGCCTCTCTTGGGTGGGCAGGGTCTCAGTGATTCCTATGCTGCTGGAAAGACACTTCCCCCCTCCTATCACTTTGGCAGAAATTGAGAGCTGACTTTCCTGGTGCTGACTTGAGGCGCCACCCCTTCCCAGAACAGTTATCGGTGCAAGAGCTTTAGAGTGTCCTCTTAGGCTGTGTCTGACTCCTGTTTCTCCAGTTCCCACCCGCCTCCACCTCTGATCTAGGAGAACTGACATTAGGCGAGTGCCCCAACAGGAAGTCAGAATGCCAATCCAGGATGGGATGGGTGCTGGGGACCTTGGCAGAAAAATGGGTGACAGTGACATGGCAGAAAAATGGGTGACAGTGACAATTACTGGAGGCTAGTTGTGTGCTGGGTGGTGACCCTTGTGCTGTCCCAGCAGTTACCCCACTTGACAGCCAGAGTCACACAGCCAGTATTTTGCATAAGGCTGTCTTCCTTCAAAGCCCTCACTCAAACAGGCAATTGAAGGGATCCCTCCAAGACTGGAAAGATTCAGTTTGGTGATCCCTGGCCCTAAGGGATTCCAAGAGAAGGGGAAGCAGGCCCTTGTAGGAGTTTAACTGATCAGAACCCAAGAACGTATTCAAAACTATATTCAAGAAGAATCCATTTATGGAGAGAATACATCCCGGTGCTCTATGTTCTTGACTAGGAAGAGTTTTGTACATATAATCTTGTGGCTGAGAATGTATTAGTGTCCCTTGGACTTCCCCACTTTCTGCCCTGTCTCTGTCTCAGGTGGTTGGAAGCTGAGCAAAAACAGATTAACAGTGTTTGCTATGTTGTGATGTGGGTGTATGTGTGTATGCACATGCACAGTTGCTCAGCCGTGTCCAACTCTTTGCGACCCCATGGACTATAGCCTGCCAGGCTCCTCTGTCCCTGGAATTTTCCAGGCAAGAATACTGGAGTGGGTTGCCATTTCCTATTCCAGGGGATCTTCCTGACCCAGGGATCAAACCCACATCTCTTTGTAAGGACCTAACAAATGCAGATCAGCTCAGCTTTCTCAGACAGCCTTAAAAAACTGTTCAGACCCTCCCATTCCACAGGGGAGAGGTAGGTAGAATAGATTAGTAAATCTTGTGCTGTGCCCAGCAGTGACCTTAGCTTTAATGAATGGTCTAGATCCAGGAGAGGTGATGACTGGCCAAGGGGGTGACCCATGAGTCGGTCCTTCTGACAGTGTGGACCTCTGTTAAAGCCCCAGGCGGTGTGAGAGGATGGGCATCCTCAACCCAGCTCCTGTAAGCCCTGCTCTGACTGGGCTGGCTCACCTGGGCATTGTGCTTGAAACATTGACGATTTGCGTAAACTGGACACCAGCCAACTGGAAACTGTCTGAAGCTACCCAGCTAAAGAATGTCAGTCTTTGAACTCTTTTCTTTGAATCATATATTCCAAAAAGTGAACAGAAAATCTGTGAATAGTTTACAGCATAATACAATGAAATATCCACATCAAAGTTCACAGTCAGTAGGCCTGAACTAGACACACCCCTTGTTTTTAGCTAGAGACTATTCTGATTGATCCTGGTCCTAGTCTTGCTAAACACATGAAGTCTCCACCCCAGGTTAGGAAGCAAAACATTACCAGTAACTTGCAGGCCCTCTCTGGGTCCCTCCCATACACAGGGCTCTCTTCCTTCTAGGACTAGTGATTCCCACTTGAGTAACATCTTAGCTTGTAATGTCAGGCCTGGGAGCTTGCAAATGTCCTGTCACAAGGAGCAGCATCCGTTGTAGCAAGGCTCTACATGTTTTATATTCATTCTGTCTCATCATCATCATCACAACTCTGTGAGGTACCTGTGCTCTGATTATTCCTCTTCTATAAAGAGAGAAGCTTAAAAGCAAGAACATCGATAGTGCCTACCTACCAGTACAGTTACTACAGCCACTGTCCCAGGGGCTTCAGTGCCACTCCACCGGGCAGTGGCTGATACAGCCTCATTGAACAGACAGGAGGCTGAGGCTCGGAGAGAAAGCTTGGCTTCCGAGCACAGTGTTTAATAACCAGAGGATGCCTGGAGCACCCCTGGCCCGGTCCTGACTCTCTGCACTCTGGGACAAGGACTGTGTGACTCTGAGCCCCTGGGTTCACATTTGCAAAAATGTGGCTGGTGACAAGTCAGGAGGGGGCGGCTCAAGTGGCAGAGAGCCTGGCCTGGGATCTGTGTGGATTTTTTTTCTTTTTTGGCTGTGCCACGCGGCTTGTGGGATCTTAGTTCCCTGACCAGGGCCTGAACCCAAGCCCCCTGCAGTGGAAACATGGAGTCCTAACCACTGGCCTGCCAAGAAATCCCTGTCCGGATATTCTGATCATCCTGTTTCATATTACTATTTGTGGCTGAGCTGCATCTGCATTGCTATGCGGGCTTTCTCTAGTTGCAGCAGTCGGTGGCTAGTCTTCCTTGTGGCACACAGCCTCACCGTGGTGGCTTCTCTTGGTGCGGAGCACAGGCTCGAGTGCATGGGCATCATTAGTTGTGGTGCATGGTTATCATTAGTTGTGACACATGGGCATCAGTAGTTGTGGCGGACAGGCTTAACTGCCTGTGAAATCTTCCTGGACCAGGGATCAAACCCGTGTCTCCTGCCTTGGCAGGCAGATTCTTATCCACTGGGCCACCGGGGAAGTCCCTCTGATCGTTCTTGATGGTATGAGCCTCCCAGCAGTCTGCCTGTCTCCTCTTGCTGCCTGCTTCAGTCACATCTCCGCTCTGTGGCCTGAGTCACTTTTCCCAATCCCAGATTAAGCCTGGTGCCCCTGCTATACCCTGGCCTGTTTCCCTGTATTCTCTTGCTCTGCAGAGGCCTGCCTTGCCCACTGCACCGTTTGTACCCGTTCATGCAAATGGCTCACAGCTTACAGAGTCCTCTCACCTGCCAGCACTCCCGTCACCTCTTCCAGGAAGCCCTCTGTGATGCCCAGCAGAGTTCCCTTATGGTAGGGTTCCCTAGCTAGGATCTCTAGCCCTACCTAGTCGGGCTCAGAGGGGCCCAGCCCTCCCTCATGATGGCCTCCTCCTCCAGGCAACAGAGACATCCAGATGATCAGCTGTGGCGCCGACAAGAGCATCTACTTCCGCAGTGCCCAGCGGGTAGAGTGGGGTGGCCTCCTTGGGGGCTGGATGTGGGGGCCCCTTGGGGGTGTCCTCTGAAAACCCCATCTGCCCTGCCAGGCCTCGGATGGACTGCACTTTGTCCGTACCCACCACGTGGCTGAGAAGACTACCTTGTATGACATGGACATCGACATTACCCAGAAGTACGTGGCCGTGGCCTGCCAGGACCGCAATGTGAGGTGAGGAGCTGCCCTGGGCGGCTTGGTCGGCCTGGCCTTGGTGGGTCTCTGAGCAGGAGGGTCTGTCTTCTCATGAGCTTTCCTCCCCTGCCCATCAGTCCCTGAGAAGCTGAGTGGAGTGGAGGGACCCAGTGGGTGTTTGTTAGAAGCTGGGCTCACCCAGGCCTTGTCTCCAGGTCAACAGTGGGTTCCCTGGCTCTCAGGAGCCTGTGTGGGGTAACCAAGAGGTGCTGACATGGCTTATAAATCATTCAGCCTCGTTTCTTGAGTACCTGTCTGCGGAGAAGAGAGAGGGAGTCCCTAACCCTGCCTCTGTGGAGTGCAGGGGAGGACAGACAGATAATAACAGCATGGAGCCGTCAGGGCTGGGATGAGGACAGCCCAGAGGCTTTGGGGGCCCCGGGAGGACATCCACCCCACCTGGGGCTCAAGCAGGGCTCACAGGAAGGGATATCTGAGCTCAGACTGGGAAGGATGCGGAGGAATGAGCGTGTCCAAAGAGATTCTCCATCTCCTACATTTGCTTATTCAAACTGGCTGCCAGACATAACCTCTGTGACCTCAGCCTGAGACAGGGTCCCATTTCCTGATACAAGGTTTCAATCCAGGCAGCAGAGGAAAAGAGGTACTGGGGGCTTCCCAGGGAGAGGAGGGCAGCAGGTAAGGTTGGAGCAAGAAGGGGTGTGGGTGGGGCCACGTTAGCCACTCCTGCCCTCACCTTCCAGAGTCTACAACACCCTGAACGGGAAGCAGAAGAAGTGCTACAAGGGCTCCCAGGGTGACGACGGGTCCCTGCTGAAGGTGAGGAACTGGGGCCCTGGCTGAAACCACACCCAGACACACACACCCAAGGCCCCCCTGTCTGCTTCCTGCCGTTGGGCCATCTGAAATATGAGTCCTCCTTGGCATGGAATCAAAGGATCACATGCTGGCCAGCATCCACTCAGGCCTGGCTGACTAAGGATGCTTGGGAGCCAAGAGTGGCCCCTAGAGCTCTACCTTTATTTACTGAACCCTTCCCCAAATGGGGGGCATCCCTGGTAGCTCAGCTGGTAAATAATCTGCCTGCATACCGGAGACCCTGGTTTGATTCCTGGGTCGGGAAGATCCGTTGGAGAAGGGATAGGCTACCCACTCCAGTATTCTTGGTCTTCCCTGGTGGCTCAGCTGGTAAAGAATCTGCCTGCATACCGGAGACCTGGGTTCGATCCCTGGGTTGGGAAGATCCCCTGGAGAAGGGAATGGCTACCCACTCCAATATTCTGGCCTGGAGAATACCATGGACTCTATAGTCCATGGGGTCATAAAGAGTTAGACACAACTGAGCCACTTTCTTTGACTTTCCCCAAGTGGGGACATTTAAGTGGTTTCCATCTGAGTGGCAATAGAGTGTGGTGGGAAGAATCAGAGAGGTCTGGGGTCTCTCTTCAAATTTCCCCCCCTGCCTGTGTCATCCAGGATGAGGTGGGAACCTTCTCAAGTGTCTCTGAACTAGGGGAGTTGTTACAACGCTCCAGAGTCAGATCCTCTTAAAGTTCTGCCTCGGGCTGTCTGTGACCTTGGGCAAATGTCATCTCCTCTCAATCCTGTTTCATCATCTCTAAAATGCAAATAAAAATAGCCTCTACAGGATCCTCTCCAAAGGTCCAACAGCTAAGACTGCGCCTTCCAGTGCAGGGGGGCAGGTTCAATCCCTGGTTAGAGAGCTAAGATCCTACATGTCTCTTGGTCAAAAAACCAAAACATAAAACAGAAACAATATTGTAACAAATTAGGATTTTTAAAAAAAAATTTTTTTAAGCCTCTATCACAGGGGTCTGTGGGGGAATAAATCCACATGCCTACAGTACTTAACACAGGGCCTGGCCGCCATTAGTACCGTTGTGATGGTTGTTAATTTCTTTACCTGTGAAATGGGGACAGGAGCTTCTGCCTACCATGGGGTGTGTCGTGAGGCTAACCTGGGATGAGTCCACATACCTAGCGCCCAGCATAAGGGGGACCTTGGTCAGCGGGGCTGTGATATTGACCCCCACCTCTGGGAAGAAGGAGGCCACCCCAGTGTCATGTGGGCGCTCTTCTCGGCAGGTCCACGTGGACCCCTCTGGCACCTTCCTGGCCACAAGCTGCTCTGACAAAAGCATCTCAGTGATTGACTTCTACTCAGGCGAGTGTGTTGCCAAGATGTTTGGCCATTCAGGTGGGTGTGCCTCTCTGCTTGGGACCCCTTCCCACCTGCCCTCACCCAGCCTTCTAGCTCAGAAGGCCAGTGCAGGCCTTCCTTGGTGGTATAGTAAAGACTCCCTACTCCCAATGCTGAGGGCCCGGGTTTGATCCCTGGTCGGGGAGCTAGATCCCACATACTGCAGTTAAGACCCAGTGCAGTCAAATAAATAAATGAGAAAGACCAATGCAGCTTCTCTACTCTACTTGCAGAAATTGTCACCGGCATGAAGTTCACCTATGATTGCCGTCACTTGATCACCGTGTCTGGAGACAGGTGGGAAAGGCCTGGAGGCTGCCCAGCAGGGCCCCCCTCTGGGAGTGGGTGAGACCTATCCTATGGGGAGAGCCAGGGCTCAGACACTAGAGCCTGGTGCCCACAGCTGGAACTCTGAGCATGCCAGCTTACTCTCGCTGGACAATGTGCCAAGCCCTGACTTCAAATCTAGATCTGCCACTTACTTGTGACCCTGAGCAGGTCATTTCCCTTTCTGAACCTCTGTAAAAGAGAGATGAGCCCGAGACATCCCCCTGGTGGTCCAGTGGTTAAGACTTCAAGCTTCCATGGCAGGGCGCAGGGGGTTCGATCCCTATTCAGAGAACTAATATCCTGCATGCTGCATGGTGGGGCCAAAAAAAGAGAGAGAGATGACCCCATCTACCTTGAGAATCATATGGTGAGAGTCAAATGAGATGACATTTCCTCAGCACCTGGTTGGTATCCTAGGACATCCCTTTTGTCACTCTGTCCGATTTACTACCCTCCCTCGCGGCTATCTTCCGTGGGTCTTGAGGTCTTCAGAGCAGCCTTGGTTTACTAGGGGGCCCTGGACCCCACCAGGGTGTAGACCTGCCCTGAGCTGATGGGAGCTATTTTCCGGGCCAGGGAGTAGGGTCCTGGCTATGGTGACCTAGGTGGTTCCAGCGTCGGACGACTTCTGTATTCACCATTCTTCCTCCTCCCACATCTCTCCTTGGCCTATGCAGCTGTGTCTTCATCTGGCACCTGGGCCCTGAGATCACCAACTGCATGAAGCAGCACTTGCTGGAGATCAACCACCGGGAGCAGCAGCAGAACACGAAGGACGGGAAGTGGAGCGGCCACCCCAGGTCCTGGCAGCCTCCTGACCATCCTTGCCTGTCCATTCACCAAAGGGGTGTCTTCTTGCCCCGGCCCCCATAGGGAGTAAGGCTGCGGACAGGGGCCCCAGACCCTGCCCCTCGTGCCCTCAGGGCCTAGAAGAGGAGATGAACTTTGTGGGGTTTGGGGTTTTTTTTTTTCATTTATTGGGGTATAGTTGTTTTACCGTATTGTGTTAGTTTCTGCTATACAGTGGAAGTGAATCAGCTGTATTTTTGCATGTATTCTCTGGGAACTGGACTTTGAATACGAAGTTACAGTAGCACACACGAGAAAGGCTTTGAAGTGTAAAAGCGAAAGAGCTAGGAGAGCCTGTGAGCACTCTGGTGAGGAGCCCTCAGGGGGCTGTGGGGACTAGAGGAGGCCCCCGACCCAGCCCTTGGGGAGGGAGAAGGTCAGGGAAGGGTCCAGGGGAGCAGAGATGTCTTCTTAATCTTTAAACGGAAGTTGTTCTTTCACTTATATCCCTGAGTTTCCTAAACCTATTTCTTAAGTCTTTAAGTTCCAAGACCAGTTTTATTTGGAGTGAAATCCTGTTCTGGTCTTTGATTTGGGATTTTGGTTTGGAAGTTTCAGTTGGAGTGGGAAGTTTTAAATTTTCTTTTCTCCTGTCCCTGGAGCTGTCCCTGTCTCTGTCTTTTTTTTCTTTTTTTTTTTTTTGGCTGCTTTGGGTCTTCATCGTTGCACATGGGCTTTCTCTGGTTGTGGTGAATGGATGCTGCGCTTCCTTGAGGCACACACGGCTTTTTGTTGCAGTGGCATCTCCTGTTGCAGGGCACAGGTTCTAGGTGCGTGGGCTTCAGCAGTTGTGGTGCACAGGCTTAGTTGCCCCACAGCATAGGGGATCTTCCCAGACTCGAACCCCTGTCCCCTGCATTGGCAGGTGGATTCTTAACCACTGATCCACCAGGGAAGTCCCCTCTGTCTTGGGGCTTTGCCATTGCCTCCCCCTGGGAACCAGGCCTGACATGGCCTCATTTTCTGCAATCATCTTGAGGTGATGCAGATCTAGGCACCAAGGGAGCGGACAACTCTTTGGCCCTTGAAACTAAAGTCTCATTGCTAACCCTGCTTCCTGGAACAGAAGCCAGCAGCTCAGGACTCATGCCCTACTATCTGCTTTGCTTTCTATTCCATTGCTGTGGGCCTTGAAGAGTTTGTCTTATTTTTTGAGCCCAGCTTTTGTTGTTGTTTAGTTGCTAAGTCATGTCCAACTCTTTTGCGACCCCATGGACTGTAACCCGCCAGTCTCCTCTGTCCATGGAATTTTCCTGGCAAGAATACTGGAGTGGGTTGCCATTTCCTTATCCAGGCCAGCCTTTCTTACATGTCATTTATTGTGACAGTGTGTTTCTAGCAGAGGGGTTGTAGTAGGTGAGATCTCCCAGCCCCATGTTGACCAGAAGCCAAGAGTGTGTTCTTATAGACCCAGCCCTAGGCAGGTCCCCTCTCCCATCCCATTTACCTGTGTTTCTCTCCTGCCATCCTTTTTCCTGTCTTCAGGCAGGAGATATATGCATCCGTGCCTAGTGAGATTTGCTCTCTGAGCCCTGGAGAGCAGACAGAGGATGAGCTGGAGGAAGAATGTGAATCTGAAGAGTTGCTGAAGACCCCATCCAAGGAGAGCTTGGATCCAGGTTGGGAAAGGGGCCCTATTTTGAACTCTCAGCAGAGAGATCATTGCTAGGTTTTAGTCACTGCTTTGTTTTCACAGCCTGACACGTATTGAAACTCAATAATCACATCATTCAGGACTCTTTCAGGGTCATAGCAACTAGACTGTCACTGGCTTAATTTGGAAAGAGGATTTATTGGTTCCTGTAATGGAAACTTTGAGAGTATGGGTTCAGGTATAGCTGGATCCTGGTAGTCAGGTGACATTAAAGCAATAGATATTTCTCCATCTCTTGGCTCTGCGCTTCTCCGTGTTGACTTTGCTCTCAGGCAGACTCTCCCTGTTAAAGGGGCAGAGTATCCCTGGCAGCTCAACATTATAACACTATAGAGAAGAGAGCACCTCTTCTCCAACAGTTTGGAGTCCTCTGCTCATGACTTATGTTCCTGTTTTAAGTCATCTGCCCATTTCTGATCTAGCCACTGTGATTGGCCAGCCCTGAGTCATGTGGTCATCCCTGAGGGCAGAGGCTTTAGTCAGCTCCACTTGAACCACATGATCAAGAGCCAGGGGTGAGTGTAAGGGGCTGTCCCCGGGGGAAAACAGGATGATGTTAACCAGAAGACAAACCAGATTCTCTTGTTCAGGCAGAAGGGAGAGAAGTGGCTCAGCGACTTTATGAGAGGCCAGGCCCTTCCATGAATTCCTGCCTCCTTGCATATTGCCTTGGCTTCAGCGCTCATGTTACAAGATGGCTGCTGAAGTTCCAGCCATCAGAGACATGATCGAAGAGGACATTCCCTCCTGGAATCGCCTTTATGGGGCTTCTTTCCCAGAAGCCCCTGCAGGCTTCTTGCCAGTCATGTTGGCCATGATTGCTCAGCTGTGAGAGAGGTTGGGAATGGTGGCTAACCTGTGTGGCTGGCCAGCTCCTAATGAAGCTGGTGGGCTCTGCCAACAGGGAGGAAACAGCCAGAGGTCCCTGGATGGCTGATTGGTAGGCAGCAGCCATGTGAGAATTCAACCTGGGAAAAAACTAGAGAGTAAGCTCATTTTCTTTGTCACTACCCTCACATCCAGTCCAATGTCGCTTCCAAGGTGGCCACTCTTAGGATTTTGGTGTGGATCCTTTCAGGCCTTTTTCTGAACATTAATATACATAAAATATACACAGGGAGCATCTATGTCTACAAATTATATTAGACTGCAGATATTCTTCTGTATCTTTTTTTCTCTCAAAACTATCTCACTGACTACAAAGCAGAGGCCTCCCTCTTTTAACCGGTAGCATCACCACTGATTGTGCTCCAGGGGGACACCTAAATATTTTCTTTTTTCTTTTTAGCTTTATTTATTTACTTTTATTTTTTAATTGGAGTATAATTACTCTACAACATTGTGTTAGTTTCTGCTGTACAAGACTGTGAATCAGCTATATGTATACATATACCCCTTCTTGAACCTCTTCCCCCATTTGAGTGTTTTCTGACATTACACTGTTGTAAATGAGGCTGTGCTGGCCACTCCCCCCAGCCCCTGCTCCGCCCAAGGACAGGCACTGCTGGATCCCAGGATTAATACACTTCTTATTTTAAAAGATAACTCCAAGGGCCCTCCAAATCCAGTGACTGCCCCAGCCAGCAGTCAGTATTAAGCCTGCTGTTTCCCCATACTTTTGCCAATACTTGATAGTTTGAAGCCTTTTAATTTTGGTCAATCTTAAGCTAGTGGTAAAGAACCTGCCTGCCAGTGCAGGAGACATAAGAGATGCGGGTTCAATCCCTGGGTCAGGAAGATCCCCTGGAGGAGGAAATGGCAACCCATTCCAGTATTCATGCCTGGAGAATCCCATGGACAGAGGAGCTATGGTCCATAGGGTCACAAAAAGTTGGACACGACTGAAGTGATTTAGTGTGCATGGGGAAAACATATCCCATTGTTTAAATTTGCATTTCCCATGAGGCTTCCCCAGTGGTTCAATGGTGAACACTTTGCCTTCCAAGGCAGGTGATGTGGATTCAATCCCTGTTTGGGGACTTAAGATCCCACGTGCCTCACATCCAAAAAGAAACTGAACGTAGACAGCAGAAGCAATATTGTTAACAAAGTCAGTAAAGACTTTAAAAATGGTCCTCATCAAAAAAGAAATCTTTAGAACAAATTTTGCATTTCCCTGATAGCTAGTGAGGCCAACCATCTTTGGATGTGTCATTTCCTGTGTGGTCTCTGGAGAGCTGCCTCTTTATGTTGACGGTGGTCTCTTGAGTTGTTTATTCTCTTTTCATGGATGTTCTGTGTCTCTTCAGATCCTCAGTGCCTGCTGACCAACGGCAAGCTGCCGCTCTGGGCGAAGCGGCTGGTGAGTCTGCCGGGGGAGCGGGACACCTAGAGGCTAACAAAGTACGGGTTCCCTTTCCCCCTTCATATCTTTACTTTCCATGGAGAATCCTTATCATGGTTTCAGTCTCTGTTTGGACAGCCCTTCATTCATGCCACAGGTATTTACTGCATGCCTACCCTGGTGGCTCAGTGATAAAGAACCCACCTGCCAAGGCAGGAGACACAGGTTTGATCCTTGGAGAAGGAAATCCCCTGGAGAGGGAAATGGCAACCTACTCCAGTATTCTTGCCTGGGAAATCTCATTGACAGAAGAACCTGGTGGATTAGAGTCCACGGGGTCACAAAGAATTAGACACCACTTAGCGACTAAAACAACAATAACAGTTATTCACAGCACACTTGCTCTGTCCAGGTTCTGTTGAGTCTTTTATATGTATTATTTAATCATCATTGATGTCTGGGCTTTTCGTATCCCCTGTTATTTCACAGATAGGAAACTGAGGCCCAAAACGGTTAAATAACTTCCCCACAGTCACACAGCTAGGAATTAGAGAAGGTGGGATTGACCCTAGGAGGCTGGCTCCAGAGCCCAGGTTCTTAAGCACCCACCCTTCCACTGTCTGCCAAGCAAGTCTTAGTAGGAGGCAGTGGTAAGCAAGATCAGGGAAGTGGCAGAAAAGAGAAGTGTACATATCTTGGGTGTGTTTGAGTGGCAGAGTTGCAGAAATGTGAAGTGTGAGGGACAGAATAAGAGGAATGAAGGAGGACCTGAATGTTTGGGGCCTGAGTAGCTGGGAAGAATCACTAAGATGGAAGACTTTAGGTTGAGTTGGTTTAGGGGGAAGGGTCAGTTGTTGTCTTAGACATGTTTGCTTTGAAAGATTGCTAAACATCTATGTGGAGATGTGGAGCAGTTGCATGAGAACTTCTGAAGTTTAGAGCTAGGTTCGGGACTTCCTGAGCAGTCCAGTGGTTAACACTCCTGTGCCAGCACTGCAGGGGGTGCAGGTTCGATCCCTGGTCAGGGAACTAAAATCCCACAAGCCACATGACATGGCAAAAAAAATAACAATAGCAAGGTTCTGCTGGAGACAGATATCTGCAAGTTGTTTCTGAGTGAGGCTTAAAGCCACAAGGCTGGAAGAGGGTCTGTGCAGTGTTCCTCGCCCTCACTGGAGTTGGTGAGCACTTGGCCAGCTGCCTGAGTGTCCTCTTGTCCCCTCAGCTAGGAGATGACGATGCAGCAGACAGCACGGCCTTCAATGCCAAGCGCAGCTACCAGCCGCATGGCCGCTGGGCAGAGCGGGCTGACCAGGAGCCTCTTAAGACCATCCTGGATGCCAGGAACCTGGACTGCTACTTCACCCCCATGAAGCCCGAGAGCCTGGAGGATTCCATCCTGGATGCAGTGGAGTCGCAGAGACTGGCAGGCCTGCTGAGCGAGGTGTGGACTGCTAGCCCCAGCCCCACCCACAGCACATGCACCACGACTGCCGATCGAGGACCTGGGGCCTCAATGCGCACGCATTTTGAAAATAAGGTTGACCATCCCACTCCAGGAGAAGGGCACGGCAACCCACTCCAGTATTCTTGCCTGGAGAATCCCTTGGACAGAGGAGCCTGGTGGGCTACAGTCCACAGGATTATGAAGAGTCAGGCACAACTGAAGCAACTTAGCAGGCAGGTGCCACTCCAGGGATATGAGAGGGTAACGAGATGGCAGTGAGCAGGAGGATGGGCCCTGGGCCTGGTGCACAGGGGAACTTCCCAGAGCAGACCAGGAGTCAGGGAGGTGCTCACTTGGGGGTGAGAGCTTGGGCCCCAGGGCAGGCCTGTACCTGAGTGAAGGGCATTTGAGCAGGTAGTGCCCTGGGCCTACCCACTCCTGGCTATGTAACTTGCAGCAAGGCTTGATTCTCAATTCTCTGGTCTTTGGTTTTCAAAAATACAGTCATTTCCAAAAAAACAAAAAAAAAAGATGACCAAGAAAAACGATATCAAAAAGTCATTTTTTAAAATGGTCATGGGGACTTCCCTGGTGGTCCAGTGGCTAAGACATCTTTCAAGCTCACAATGCACGGGATACGGGTTCAATCCCTGGTCAGGGAACTAAATCCCACATGTTGCAACTAAGAATCTCTCACGCTGCAGCAAAGACCCAGCACAGCCAAATAAATAAAATTAAAAACAAATCAATATCTTAAAAAAGACTCCACACTTCCAAAGCAGGGGACACAGGTTTGATCCCTGATCAGGAAACTAAGATCTCACATGCTGTGGGACAAGACCACAAAATAAAAAAAAAATTTTAAGTTAAAAATGGTCATTAAAAAAAGTCCTCAGAGGGATTTTACAGTTATGCAGGGCCATAAACAGTCTGGGCCCAAAAACGTGCTGACGCAGCTTTAGATCTTATTCCATTATTTTCTAAACAAAATTCTTTTTATTCTATGATATAAGTTTTCTTATGTAAGTTTTCTGATCCTGAAGCTAAAGCTTCGATGCTTTGGCCACCTGATGCAGAGAGCCAACTCATTGAAAAAGACCCTGATGCTGGGGAAGATTGAGGGCAGGAGGAAAATGGGGGCAACAGAGGGAGAGATGGTTAGATAGCATCACTGACTTGAGTTTGAGCAAGCTCCAGGAGATAGTGAAGGACAGAGGAGCCTGGCGGGCTGTGGTCCATGGGGTCACAAAGAGTCGGACCTGACTTAGCAACTTAACAACAACGTAAGTTTTCTTATGTGGCTTAATATAAGTACAGTTAGGTGCACAGATCATAAAACCACAGTTTGCTGAATACCTGTGTACACACTTAGGTATCCACCTCCTAAGTCAAAGTATGTAGAGCATTTTCTGCCTCTTGATCTTGGAGGACCCCTCTGCCCCTTCCAGTTAGTACCCTCAATGAAGTAACCAGCATGCTGACCTCTGTCACCATGGATTGGTTTGCCTGTTCTTGAACTTCATATGAATAGACTCTTACAGGGTGGGAGCCATACATATTCCTTATCTGTAAAGGGGCCGATGAAATGGAGGGGCAGCACAGAAAGTGAGCTCATGACGGCCCCGCTCAGGCCTTGCCTCACAGGGCGCATCCAACAGTGAGGCCTGCCATCTTTCCTGTCACCATCGGTGTGGGTGGAACACCTAGCAGCTCACATGGGCCCTGGGGGTCACGGCTGCCTCTGAGGGCTATGCTGTCTTCACCCACAGTCCGAGAGTCCCCAGGAGGACGGCTGCGGGCACCCTTCCTTGTCACCCCCACAGCAGGAGTCTTCTGAGGCCAGCGAGCTCATCACCTGCCCCCCAGAGACAGAGGTGACAGTCACCGGGATGGACAGGTGAGTTCCTTAGTTGGAGAGAGGAAGCCTCGACTGGCAGGCACACCCTGGAAGAACTGCGCTCTGCTCTCCCAGTGGGCCTGAGGGAAGGAGGCAGGGGGGTGAGGCTGCCACCTTTTTCCCTGGTTCCAGGAGGAGGTGCATGGAAGGCGCCTTTGGTGAAGGCAGGAGAGGCGAGGCTGTGCTCCCAGCAGGAGCAGGTGCAGATGCCCAGGGCTTCTGGGTAGGGGCCAGGTGCTTACTAACCAGTATGCCATTTTTCACTTTCCCTACCCATCCCTCAACCCCGGCATGCAGCGAGTACTGTGCGGAGGCGGTGGTGGAGGCAGACGGAGACCAGCAAGGGGACCCCTTCCTCCGGGTCCCCTCAATCGACTCGAAGAACCGGAGTCCACCTGAGGGTGAGTGAGCACCCAGCAGGACACCTTGCAATCATCTCTTCATCTGACCAGACCCCTTTCTGGGCACTGATGGTGACTGTGACCCCGTCTTCCTGAAGCTCAGAGCCTGTCACAGAGACAGATATCATCCCTGCTGTCTTCATCCTAGACTTCTGGAGCCCAGCTGCCCACCAGGGGGAGCCCAGTGCTGCATCTCCCCTGAAGTGTAGCCTTGCTGGTCTATAAAGTAGGGTGTGGGTCCTATGGTCCCCCTTCTTCAGATGAGGGAACTGAAGCCCTGAAACCCCGAGCCTCCTTACCTGATGCACCCAGTCAGGGCCCAGCTTTGGGCCCCTGACCCCACCCACTCTCTTCCAGACTCGGGGGAGTCAGAGGCTGACTTGGAGTGCAGCGTCACCACCATCCAGTCCTCCCCTCCACAGCCAGACCCAGAGCCTCAGTTTGACACGATTCCCCCCACACCAGGTAAGCGGCGGCCACATGCAGAAAAGGGTGGTGCGTGGGCCTGGCCGGGTGCTGGCTGTGATATATAACCACTGGCCGTACATCAGTCCTGCACCCCCAATTCCCTCCCCTAGAAGACGGAGCCATTAGCCCCGCCTTCCCCTCCTGGTGGCCACAGGGTGTGTGATGGGCGAGTCCAGCTTCCTCCATTGTTAAGCAGCTGGCGGCTCTCTCAGGGCCTCTTCATGACTCATGTGTTGACAGTTCTCTCCTGCCCACGCCCTCTGCTCAGGATGCCCAGGGAACGCAGGAGAGTTGCCCCGGCCCGAGGTGCCAGGCGTGTCCAACAGCTCCCTGCCCCAGACCCCTGAGCAAGAGAAGTTCCTCCGCCACCACTTCGAGACGCTTACTGATGCCCACCCTGAGGGTAAGCCCTGCCCCTCTCTGACACCTGCCTGGGCGCACCCAAGGCTGGGCTCGGTGTGGACGTCCCCAGGGTGGGGCTTTCCCTGGCAGGGCTGGCGAGGGTGGTGGGGGGGCGTGCATTTTACTTAGGGGCTGAGCAGCACAGTATCTTCTGCCAGCTCGATTTGCTCCCGAGGTGTGTGTTTGCTTTTTATTTTTGACTACATCGGGTCTCAGTTGCGTTATGCGGGATCTTTTCCTGGACCAGCAGGGAAGCCCCGTGTTATCTGTTGTTGACGGTCTCTGAGGATCTGTCTGCTGGTCTGTGGGGTCTGCCTGGGCCCAGGGCTGGCTGGCTGGAGGGTTTCTGAGGGCTCCCTTGGCATCTTGCCCTAGAGCTCTTCCTCGGATCCCTGAGAGACCTGAAAGCCCCTGAGACCGAGGACGACTTCTTCAACCCCCGACTGAGCATCTCAGCCCAGTTCCTCTCCCGCCTTCAGAAGACATCCAGGTAGGAGCAGGTGAACTAGTGAACTCCCACCCACTCTCCGTCTCCCTGCAGGGCGGGGCTGTGCGCCCCTGAGCACTCTCAGGGCCCCCACTGCCACCTCTTTTCCTAACAGGTTCCCCCACACCTTCCCTTCCCGGCTGCCCCGGCATCTCGTGAAGTCCTCGGAGGTCAGACTCACGGACCTTGGGGGCGAGCCCCCAACGGCAGGTGCTGGTTGCACCTCCCCAGTCAGGACCAGCGTGAGTACTCGGGCCCCCTCCCTCAAGACACGGGCCTGGGAGCCGGGAGGCCTTGTCCTTACTGCGAAGCTGTGTTTGCAGGTCATCTCTGGAGGAAAGGCTGAGGAGACACTGGAGGTGTGGTCCCCACTGCGTGAGTGTCCCCATCCCCCAGAGGAAAGCCCTGGGTGGCTCACTGAGCCATGGTGGGAATGGCCAGGGGCCACTCGGACCATGCAGCCACGCCAGGTGGGGGGCCCTGTCTGTCAGCCCTGAGCTGGGCTGTGAGAGCAAGCCACCTGCTTCCTTTCCAGCCCCCTGCCTCACGGGCCTGGCGCCCTGCATGCCCTCCTCCTCTGCGCTGCCCACCGACAAGAAGCCACCAGCACCCACAGCCCTACCCACTGCAGGCCTGGCTCGGAGTGTCCACACCCCCACCACCCACTCCCACATGGAGGCCACTGCCAGTTCCCATGCCAAGATGTCCCGCAGCATTTCCCTGGAGGAGCTGGCCTCCCTGAGCCAGGAGCTCCAGGATGTCACCACCACAGTGACACCCAGTTCTGATGGTGAGGGCCGAGAACCTGCCCTGCCCTCCCGGGGCAACCATGAGGCCCGCGCCAGCCTGAAACTCAGCCTGTCAAGCATCTGTGATAGGCTCTTGCTGCCCCCACCCCAACTGGAGCCTCCCACCACATGTGTCTGGTCCCAGGAGCCTGTGGACACAGAATGCAATGTCACTGTTACGACAGATGGTTTTCCAGCCCACAGCCCTGCGGATGGGATCGCCTCGAGGCTCCACAAGTCCGCCTTTCTCCCAAGGTTCCTGGCCCCTGTGCGCCTCAATACCCCTGTCCCCAACAGTCTCCCGCTCCCAGAAGCCAGGCCTAGGGTCCTTGGCAGCATCGCCTCTCTCCGGGAGCCCACCCCTGGTGAGTACCATCCTTAGGATGAGGGATTGTCCCCTAAGCTCATCCCATATAACAGCTGGCTCATCTCCAAAGGCTACAGGCACTGTGCCATTCATTCATTCATTTCGTTACATATTTAGTGAATACTTGTATATACTGGGCTTTGTTCTGGGCCCTGGGGACATGGATGTGCTAAGTTGCTTCAGTTGTGTCCAACTCTTTGCAACTCCATGGACTGATGCCTGCCAGGCTCCTCTGTCCATGTAATTCTCCAGGCAAGAATACTGGAGTGGGTTGCCGTGCCCTCCTCCAGGAGATCTTCCCAATCCGTGGGAGCTGGTGGTAAATGAGACTACAGAAATTAACACCTTAACTGAGGGAAATCCCCAGTCTAAATTTTTTTTTTTAATGGAGGAGAGGGAAAGAGTGGCTTTATTACTTTGCCAGGCAAACAAAAGGGAAACACAGTAGGCTAGTGCCTCAAGACTGTGCCCCCTCCCTGACCAGACTAAATCTATAAGGAAAGGGTTAAGTGTATCATGATGCAAAGTGTGCTGTGGAGATAAGGAAGAGAAAGAAAGGGTTTAGGGAGTGACAGGTGGATGCAGTGGCTAATGGATGATGAACAATTGACATTTGACATTTGAGCAGAGACCTGCAGGAGAGTTGGGAAAGGAGCCTTGGGGACTGAGGGAAATGCCCCAGGAAAGGGGACAACAGTTGGGATCGGCCCAACCACCCTGGCCTCTTCAGATCAGTTGGAAAGTAGAAGTGTCTTTCTCATTTCCTCCCTTCCACCCCCAGAAGCGCCCAGTCCAGTCCAGGACTGCCCTGGACACTGGGGGGACCCCAGGGCGCCAGCCAGCTTCCTGCCTCCAGACCCCCTGGAGCTGAGCAATGTGGGGACTGTCGTGCACAGACTGCAGGATGCCTTCCAGGAAGCCCTGGACCTTTACCACCTGGTAAGCCAAGCCCCAGGGTCAGGGGAAAGGGCTGAGGGGCTCCCTGGCACTGCCCAGCCCAGGTGGCCCCTAACAAGGTGGGCGCCCTTTGCAGATGGTCTCCAGTGATGAGGTGAGCGCCGAACAGCGGCAGGCACGGACTGAGCTGGCCTCCACTTTCCTCTGGATCCACAGCCAGTTAGAGGCCAGCGACTGGCTAGTGGGGACGGATGTGGCCACAGCCCAGGCCCCGCCCAGCCCAGGTGGCCCCTCCCCGCCTACCCTGTGCCCCTTGGCCAGCCCAGATTTGCGTGCCCTGCTGGAACACTACTCAGAGCTGCTGGTGCAGGCCGTGAGGAGGAAGGCACGGGGGGACTGAGGGCCAGCAGCCTCTCCACGCAGCCCTGTGCTTCTGAGGAAATAGGTATTTTAAGCAAATAAACAGACAACTTGCAGAAGTGGCGCCTGGTGCCTGTCCTGGAGCATCCACAAAGCCCTGTTCGGATGGATGTGGGGAGAGAGGGGAGGAGGACAGCCCAGGGAACTCACCGGCCGTGGAGCACACAGGACTGTTTGGGCACTGCAGGAATGATGACCCCAGCACCTGGCTCGCATGTCACCTGTCCCCAGCCCACTGAGCTGCTGGCCCCTCCCAATGCCCACGAACCCACTGGAGCCTCTATGACTACCATGTGCCAGACGCTGGCCACCAATTCACATATCCCCACAACACTGTCTCACAGCCCCTGGACCAGGCCTACGCTGGATCCTATGAGCTCCAGGCTTTTGTTCCCACTTGCAGCAGGGGAAAGTGAGGAAGGACAAACATATTCAGCTACTGGACAATCCAGCCCAGGCCACCCAGCAGCTGGAGCCAGTAATTCTTCCACCAGCAAGACTGTGTCCAGCTCCAACGTCCCATGAGCTTCCAGCTCTGGGACCAGCCTCCCCAGGCAGCAGGCCTCTAGCCACTGGTATATCTGCTGAGAAGACACTACTGGGACCACAAAAGCCCTCGCTGTCCTGAGTCTTTTAAAAGGAAGCACAGCAGGAGCAGGGCCCTCCCCTGAAGCCCAGTCCTATCATGTGTTCTGTGGGGCCCGAACCCCCACTTGCCTGTGAGTTCCTCCAGGCTCTAATGTGATCATGGCTCACCAGAAGCAGGCTCAGAGAGATATCCAGGGTCATGCCTAGGGCCCCACAGAGCTGAGACTCAAACCCAGGCTTGCCTGGTGGTAGAGCCAGGCCCTTCAGCCTGAGGACCTGGCCCTCTGTTGCTCCTGTAAACACGGAACTAATTACGTAGTTGTTGAAAAGTCTTTCCAGCCCCTAGGAATTCCTGGTCCCATCTCTCATCACTGTTCTACATGTTAGGAGTAGAGCAGGGAACAGGACAAGCAGAGCATTATGCATTCACCTTCTAGTGAGCAAAAGATAGGAATTAATACAATAACTGTGTGACTGCAGATAAACGGAAGGATCTCACAGTCACTGTGCTGGTTAAAGGCCTTTCTTAGCTGACATTGGAACAGAGGTTTGATAGAGGGCACAGGCCGTGTGGACAACTGGGCAAGTATCTAGGCAGAGAGAATTGCCAGTGCAAAGGCCCCATGGCAGGCTCAGATGTGAGGATAAAAGGAATAGAATGAAGCCAGGAGGCTGGAATGGAGTGGGCTCAAGGAGATGGTAGGAGAGGAGGTGGGAGGAAAACTGGGTCCCACTAGGCAGGGCCTTGATGTTTTAAGTCATTTTAATCTGGGACTTCCCTGATAATCCAGTGGTTAAGAATCTGCCTGCCAATGCAAGGGGAAAGGGTTCCATCCCTAGTCTGGGAAGATCCCACATGCCACAGAGCCTGTGCTCTAAAGAGCCCTCGAGCTATGACTGCTGAAATCTATTTGCTCAGAACCTGTGCTCCACGACAAAAAGAAGCCACCACAATGAGAAGCCCATGCACCACAAGGAAGAGTAGCCCCTGCTCGCCACCGTAAGCGAAAGCTCTTGCACAGCAGCAAAGACCCAGTGCAACCAAAATTAAATTTAAAAAAAGAAAAAAAAAATTAAATCCAAGACACGTTCACAATACAGGTTTTTCTCTAAATAAAATCCCTGATCTTGGTGTTTGTGAGATGCCCAGTGTTGCTTATTTCACAAGGTTCCCCTCCTCCTCCCTGCCTTAGGAAGCCCAGGACACGTAGGTGGGCCGCATTTCTGTCGGGAGGCTCCCTACCTGGGTTCACAGGCCACCCCTGAAGACTGGAGACCACTTTCCCCGCCCTGGCCTGGCTCAGCCAAAGCTGTAAAATCTGTGAGGTGACTGGACACCGAGGGGACCACCTTGAGCCTCTGTCCCTCGTGGATTTTACCCCTCCTTCTACCTTGTATCATAGTGAAGGTCTTCAACTCCAGGAAGCAAACGCCTGGCTTAAGGGGCCCCAAGCTACAGGGACATTTGTTACTCTAGATTCTGTTACTGCTCTATTCCACCCTCTATGTGTCTGAGTTTCACTCCCTGGCTTAGGCCCTCATGGTGGCAACACAGCTGCCATGGTTCCCAGCGTACACCCTCACCTAACTAGGAGCAAAGGCACGAAGCTGGGCACCCACCAAGGTCATGGGGGAAAAGTGCCAAACCTTCTTAGACACCCTTCCCTTTCAGGGCAGTTGCAGGCAACAGGAATGGAAATGACTAATTTGCTTGATTCAGCCATTCTCCTGTCCCGGGCATGTTACTGTTTGAACAAAATTGGGTTCTCAGCACAAAAGAAGGGTGGGCTGGCAGTGTGTCTGCCAGTCTCCACCTTTGCTGAGCTCTTCAGTCCTGGAAGGACAAGACTTTCCTTAGACAAACCAACTGGTTAAGAAACCACTGCTGGAGCTTCCCTGGTGGTCTAGTGGGTAAGACTTTGCACTGCTAATGTGGGGGACCCAGGGTTCGATCTCACATGCCGCAACTCAAGAGTTTGCATGCCATAACTGGAAGATTCAGAGCACCACAACTAAGACCCAGCACAGCCAAGTAAATAATATTTTTAAAAAAGAAACCAATGCTGGTGAATGTGTGTGCATGCAGCAGTGTCCCAGCAGGAAGCATGCTCATGTGGGATATTTCAAAGAGAGTTCAGCAGAGGGATCATTTGTAAAGAAGTAGACAGGGGAACCTCAGGGCCAGTACAGTACCCTCGGATGGTACTGGAGGAGAGCTAGTCACTGCTCAGGCCAGAAGGCATAGGGAGCAAAGTGGAACCCAGAGGAGAGGGCGCTGCCCTGAGGGGAGCTGTGACCCTGGCAAGAGGGGCTCCATCTTCTGTGGGGCCCCCCATTACCAAACCCTACCGGAAGCCAGCAGGCACAGGGGTTCAGGTGATGCTTCCCACCCTGGTCAGCCTCCAGGACACAGGACAGAAAGGGGACAGAAAGACCCCCAGGCCCAGAGTTCTTCCCTAATGTGTTTTCAGCAACAACTCAGGAACCAGGTATCCCAAGAGACCTGGTGTTGGGCATGGAAAACTAGATACCAGAGAACAACAAAATGGCTCCCATAACCCATTCACTGGCTCGTTCTTCAGTGCCTCTGGGCCCTGCACTCCACAACCGACAGGTCCTAGATACTGGGCCCCCAGACCTGGGCCAGGCACACTGCATAAAGCCCAGCAACTGAGAGATGAGACACCTAAAATCACATTTCACAGGCTGATTGAAACTCAGATGCTTGCCTAGCCACCCCACCCTGCAAGACTTTGAAACAGGGCTTCCCTGGTGGTCCAGTGGTTAAGACTCCCGAGTTCCCACTGCAGGGGAGGCAGGTTCAATCCCTGGTTGGGGAACTAAGATCCTGCATCATGATTGCTATGTGGCCAAAAAAAAAAAAAAAAAGACTTTCAAACAACCCCCATTTATCACTGTCACATGCCAGATTCTATGCAAAGCATTCCCACCTGGTGATCTACATGGATTTTCAACACAAAACAGTGATGGGAAGACTCATCAGTCCCATTTCCAGATGAAGAAACTGAGGCTCAGTGAGACATGGCTTGGCCCAGGTTCCATGGAGATTAAATGGCAAAGCTCTGGGCCTGCAGACTTCCAGCACTAAACTCCCTTGTTTCTGCAAATGCATTAGCAGGACTGACTCTCCAGGAAATGTGAAGAAATGAATAAATATTGCTTCTTTCACCACCAAGCCTTTTACAGATTATTCCTCTGCCTGGAGAGCCCTCCCTGTTTATCGGAGACCTTTTCTTCCATCAAGTTTCACACCTGGAAAGTCGTTCCTGAACCCTTAGACTGAATCAGGAGCCTCTCCTGGGTCTCCTGAGCCCCCTGGCTTTTCCCCACTGAAGCTGGGTCCCTCTGCCTGTGCTCCATAGCCTTGGTCATTCTGGGTGTCTCCCCATAAGGTTATGTCTTCTTTTTCAGTGCTAAGGTAGGCCTGGCCTGTTGTTGGAGCTCAGGAAAATGTAGGTGCATAAGTGAAAAAAAGTTAACTACAGGGGAATATTCAAAATCCATAATCCCTGGCTAAGAAGCCAATGACCAGTCTAGAACAGAGCCTGGCCAGAGTGCTGGGGTTAGGGTCCTGAGAGCCTCTGGCTGTGTCACGTGACCCATCCTTTAGTTCCTGAACAATAGGAGGGTGGTGTCCCAGACAATTACTAGGAGCTGGACTGGTGTGTTTGCATGTGTGTGCGCACATGCAGGTGCACATTCAGTTACTCAGTCATGTCCAACTCTGTGACTCCATGGACTGTAGCCTACCAGGCTCCTCTGTCCATGGGATTCTCCAGGCAAGAATACTGGAGTGGGTTGCCATTTCCTTCTCCAGGGGACCTTCCTGACTCAGGAATTGAACCCAAGTCTACTGTGTCTCCTGAATTGGCAGGCAGGTTCTTTACAACTAGCACAACCTGGGAAGGCCCTGGACTAATAACCAAGTATTGTAATGTCCCCTACACTAGAACAGTGCTTCTGGCTGACCGTCAGCTCTTATCCTCTGAGGATCAGAAAGGTAGAGCTTCTTCTTGACGATGATCAGCATGGACTCTCACTTTGATCTTACTAAGTAGACCCTGCTGTCCCCCCACCCTCTGGAGCAATCACAGTCACCCCCTCCCCTGATTCCTCACACAGCTGCTGTGATTTGAATAACCAAGCAGGCTGGTGGATGTCCGGTAGTGACTAATTTGCTTGGCAAACAGGCCCTCTGGTCCTGGGCCCTGCTGGTACTATGGAAAGACACTCAGCCTCACCGGGGTCTCTGTTTCCTCTCTCCACCCGCATCCCCCCACCGCCGCCCCCCAAGAGCCACCTAGGTTCCCTCTTGCCCTGCTGGACCTCCTCGGAGGACTTAGGGCTTGTCTCCCCTTGGAGGCTGGAGAGGGCCCTGGGAAACCTGGCAGAGGAGAAGCGGGAGGAATGGCAGGCCCCGAGGCAGAGGTAACCAGAGCTGGCTAAGTCTGCCCCCAGAGCCTGTCAGGAAATTTGCATGGCGGGAACAAGGCTTCTCTGGGGCTTCCCCCTCCCTTCCCACCTGGGAGAGTCATCCTAGACCTGAGATCTGACAGCAGGTGGAGGAAGCAGCTGCATGTGTGGAGCTGTCGCCCTATTCCCAGAGGTGATGCCCCGTGCCTTTCTGGTCAGGAGTCGGCGTCCACAGCCACCCAACTGGAACCACCTGCCTGACCAGCTCCGGGGAGACACCTATGTCCCAGGTGGGCCCCTCCCTGGGCCTGGAGGTGAGGGGCAGGGGAGACATAAAGCATGACCACCTGGTTTCTCTTCTCAGACTGCAGCAACCTGGGCGGGCCGCAGGCACACCGGACTTCCGACCCTGGGGACTCTTGGGCAGCGGTGAGTCTGCGGCAGGCGCCCAAGGCCCTGCTGTTTCACCCCTGCCTGCTCTCAGCCTCAAGAGACCCTGACTGCCCCTTACTCCCACAGACCCCTCCAGGCTCAGAAGCTGCCCACTCACTGCCCTCTCTGCTGGGAATGCCTTTACTGAGTAGCGGGCTCACTGTTAGGCCTCCTCCTAAGCACTGTTTCCCCAGGGCTTCTATGCCCAGTGGGGCAGAAGAACAGATTCAAGCCCATAAAATGGATGGTGATCTATGTCAGAGAGCTGGACAAGGTGACAGGAGCAGGATGAGGGGTGGGGGAGGAGCTTGGGGCCTCTCAGAAGAGATACTCAGCCGTGAGTACACTGGAAGAAGGAAAGCCCTAGGCGGGATGTGAATGTGCTGGAGTTTTATTTCAATTTTTACTGGAAGCCAGGACTGTTCTAGGCTATGGGTGTTTAAGAGTAAGACAAAAACTCATTCCTTCCTGAAGCTTATCATCTGGTGGGGGTTGCAGGTATAGATAATAAAATTAGAGGAAAAAATATGTTGGAAGTTGGTATGTACTATGGAAAAATATAAAACAAAGGAAGGGAGATGGGGGCTGGGTGACCAGGAAAGGCCTTGTGGGATGGGATTTGCTCACACAAACTGCAGTCTCCGGCCTTACCAGACCTCCATGGTTCCCGGTTCTAGGCACTTCATTCCATCCAGGGCAGGGGAGTTGGGGTCCTAACCCTCCTGTCCCTCCCCCAGCCCTCCCAGGGTACTCTGACCACCACCCCTAGTAGCCCCGGGACCCTTGGCTGCCCGCTGTGCCCCAAGGCCTTCCCGTTGCAGCGCATGCTAACCCGGCACCTCAAGTGCCACAGCCCTGCTCGCCGCCACGTATGCCACTGCTGTGGCAAGGGCTTCCATGATGCCTTCGACCTCAAGCGCCACATGAGGACACACACAGGTGAGCCGCGGCAGGGACTGGGAGGGGCTGCTGGTGGGAGATGGGAGGAAATGGTGGGAGGTGCAGGGGACTCAAGAGACTCCAAACACCTGAGTCGGTGCACAAGTGGTGCTTGTGTTTGTGGGGCAGGACTCAGGCCTCAGCAGGCTAGGAACACCACGCACCTTAGCTCCTGGCCAGTAGTTGTCAGGTAGTGCCAAGGTGGGGGCCTGCTGAGGGATATGGGGAGAAAACAGATACTGGTTACAGGATTCAGGTCCCAGATTACAGGGTGCAAAAGGGAACATCATAGTGAGGAGGGTAGGAACACAGGTCTCTGGTTCATTTTTGCACTGGGTGGAGAGGGAGCAGATGATGAGATGCAGGCCAAGGTCTGGTGAATTTGGGGCAAAAATGTGTGCGTGTGTGGAGGGGATGCTCACGGAGGTTGAGTGAGGGTGGGGAGGCTCTGGTATGAGGACCATCGCCCTCCCTCTGGCCCACCTGCACAGGGATCCGGCCGTTCCGCTGTGGAGCTTGTGGAAAAGCATTTACGCAGCGCTGCTCACTTGAAGCACACCTCGCCAAGGTGCACGGGCAGCCGGCCAGCTACGCTTACCGTGAGCGCCGTGAAAAGCTGCACGTGTGCGAGGACTGCGGCTTCACCAGCTCGCAGCCCGACGCCTTCGCGCGGCACCGCGCTCTCCACCGCACTGCCTAGACTGTGTACCCGGCGTCCAACCCATGAGACGGAAATAAACAAAAGGCACTCACAGAACACAGCATTTATTACACAAGGGAGAGAGAGGGTCACTCGGTCCAACGATGGCCGCAATGCGGGGCCGTGCACACATAGTAAAGGCGCATGGCATCCTGGCAGAAAAGATACATGGTTAGGAAGGCTCTCGACCCACAGTGGGGTACAACACTCAACCTCCATTCAGAGAAGCCTCACCCCAAAAGAACAAACTATAGAGGGCTTTCCCCACTGCTAAAGGTCCATCTCAGGAAACCCGGAAGGGCAGAGTCTTCCCCAATATAGGTATCCCCACCCCCCGGGAAGGACCAGACCAAAATCATCCAGAAAGTTTTGCTCGCGCCACTCACCTCGGCCCGAGCACTGTGTGACTGGAAGAACACCGCCTCCTTGTGGCCGCACCTGAGGGGACAGTCACTCAGAGCCTGCCATAGCCCACCCTCACCGCTTCTCGGTCTGGTGAGGATAAGCCAGCCACCTCCCCTCCCCAGTACCAGCTGCGCACTCACTTTTGGCACGGGTGATCTTCGGTTCGCGGCAACGTGGGGTCCTGGGACACGTCAGCAATGATCTGGGTCAGCTCGCTAAGGGAATAGAGGGTGAATAATTATGCTTGGTCTTACCTCCCAAGCCAACAAACCCGTCCCCGAGCTCCGGTCCTGCCACTCACTCCACTTCGTGCGTGATTTTGTTGACGTAGATGCAGCTGTTGTCGGCTTCCTGCTGGTAATCACAGTTCCGGCACTGCGAGAGGGAGTGTGCGGCGGGAAGGGGGTCAAGGGGTGATACCCGAAGGGAGTGGAAGGAAGGGCAAGGTCTTCCCCGGAGGGCATGACTAGGAGACGGAGTCTCGGAACTGGGGTCATGGGGTGTAATCGAGGATCACCTCAAGGATGGGCAAAACAAAGCCTAGTTCATTTGGGGGATAGTCTGGAGTTTAGACCAGGAGTGGTCGGGGCGGCACAGGGAGTAGGGCGGGGCCACGTTGGGTACCAGGGGGCCGGTCTCAGAATACACTGCGGGCTCGCGCTCACCGCGTACAGCAGAATGCGGTTCTCCTTGTCCTCCTTGGGGTAAAGCATGTTATTACTGTGAAGAGGGGAAGAGGGAAATCAGAGGTCAGTACTGGGGCCATTACTTGCTGCCCTTCCACACTGCTAGCCGGGCCTCACCATTCCTGGCAGAATCGAATACCCACGAAGCCGGGCTCGTAGGTCCCGTCGGGTTCCATAGCGACTCACTGCCGGTCCAGCTTCCGCGCTTGCTCCGCCGTGCGACAGGTCGCAGGAAGGGTCAGAACTCCTAGCTTCGCCAAACTAAGGGCGGAGCCGGGCACGTGTACTGGTGCCCGGCAGCTTTGTGCTCGCCTGTCTGCCCTGAGGTTTGATTAATTACTTCAGTCTCTTGATACCTCAGAATAATTGCTTCCAATTTCTGGGCCGTGCTTCCCTAGTTCACACAATAGTGTAGTACGAAAGCCAGCAAAACGATGCGTCACGTAACGCGCGAAGAGCTTAGCAGTAATGAAGACGCCCCAGCTCGTTGCAGGCTGAAGGCCAGTGCACATGCGCAAGTTTACCCTTCGCGGACTGGGCTAGCTTTTGCCAGTTCTTCCTCTCGGCTTCAGCCTTCGCCCGCCAGGCCGTTTCCCGTGCCGCTATTGGAGGAACTGTGCACCATGAAAGACCGTGGAAGGCCTCTCAGGACTGGCTGGGCCTACTCAAGCGTACCCGAGAGCCCTCTTCCTGCCGACGGCAAAGAGACGCGGCGATTGGTGGACTCTCCTGACGGGAGGGCGTGGATTGGCCAGGTCCGGGAGCAGGGGCGGGGCTGATATCCCAGAAGCGGTGGCGCCTGAGGAGCCGGTGCGAGGCGGCTGACCGGGCTGCGGGCCGCCACAGGGCGCGGCGAGATGGAGGTGACGGGGTTGTCGGCGCCCACAGTGAACGTGTTCATCAGCAGCTCTCTCAACAGCTTTCGCTCCCAAAAGCGGTACAATCGCAGCCTCACCGTAGCTGAGTTCAAGGTGTGGCCATGGGGGCGGGGTCCGGAGAGGCGGGGCGTAGGGTTTGAGGGGGTGGGACCAAGAAGAAATGGAGGGTCTTCCACAACGCAGGAAAGGGGCCAGAAATGAACCCAGGTTGCAGAGGTTGGGGACGAGACCTCAGCGGGGCGGGGCCAGATAGAACCTTAGGTTCCAGAGAATGGGTGCGGGGCCAGGGAAAATCAGAGGTTGCGGGGAGTTGGGGGCAAGACCCGAACGGGGTGGGGCCAGGAATACCTGGTGGGTCCCAAATGGTAGGTCTCTTGGAGGAACTGGGAAGGGATAGTGGTTATTTATACAAAGGACGGAGCCTCAGGGCAGAGGGTGGGGTCACTGACAGCCTTCCACCTCTTCCTCGCCTGCCCCCTCTTGTATCTTCACAGTGTAAACTACAGCTTGTTGTGGGCAGCCCTGCTTCTTGCATGGAATTGGATCTGTATGGACCTGACGACAAGTTCTACTGCAAGCTGGATCAGGATGATGCACTGCTGGGCTCCTACCCCGTAGATGACGGCTGTCGCATCCATGTGAGGCCTCCCTAACTAGGATCCCTCCCTTCCGTTCGTTTATTTATTCAACAGATGTTTGCTGTGCTTTGCGCTATGTGATAACCAAGATAGCCCCTAACCTCATGAAGTTCCCAGTCCAGCAGGGAGAGAGACGGACCCATCCCCAGACATTGGCACTCAGCGATCTGGACTGGGTTGAGAAAAGCCTAGGGGACTGGAGGCATCCAGCAGAGGTGCCTGACCCCACCTAGGAGTATATGAAGGGGATTCTTTTTTTTTTTTTTTTAAGGGGGATTCTTGAAGGGTGGGTTGCCTGAGTTGAAATCTGAAGGATAAGGAAAGGGCCTCCTAAGGGAAGAGGAGGGAGGGACACACCAGGCAGAGGGAACAGAGGGTCAGGTGGGTTAGGGTGAGCAAAGAGGCTCATGTGTCAGGAGATGCCAGAACACAGAGGACCTCTGTATACATCAGCTCACATCATCCTCTCTGTTCTCGGTATCTCCCACAAAAAACTCAGACGAGCCAGCATCCTGGTTGAGGTTTGCGGATGCTAGTCCTGTGCCTGAATGGTTCTTTTTTCTATGCCTCCATGTCTTGCTTCTTCCTTCCAGTCTTTACATAAATGTCACTGGGTGTGAGGACTATATGGCCTTCAGTATAAAATTTAAACCTCCTCCCTTTCCCACTTTATTTAATTTTCCTTCTTCTTACTAATCACCCTGTGACATACTGTGGAGTTTTCTTCAGTACCTGGAACAGAGCCTGGCACACAGAGGATGCTCAGTGATTCATTGTTGAATGATGAATTGAATCCAGAAAATAAGACTTGGAAAATGGTATAATCAACACTATTTTGCAAAAGAGAAAACTTAGCTTCAGGATGGAATTGACTTTCCTAAGGAGGAACATGGGTAGATTATCTCTTTCATCATAACTATTCATTGAGCTTACATGATGTGCCAGGGGTATAGTCATGAATCAAGTTTGAGAAGGTCTCTGTTTTAGCTTTGTCCAATATGTGAGGTAGTTGTTAGCTAAACATTCACAGAAACAAATGTGAAGGGTTAGTGAGATGAGGGCCAATAAGGAGGACATCACAGAGCTGGAAGATCATATACTGTGGAGCCTGACCCATCAGTAAGATCCAGGAGGACTTCCTGGAGGAGGTGCTGCTTGAGCAGAGACCTGAAGAATAGGAAGAATTAACTAAAGAAGGGAAAAGCATGCTCCAGGAGGAGGGCACAGCATGTGCACTCTGAGGTGGGAGGGAGCAGAGTGGGTATGGGGGCTGAAGAGTGATCTCTTCTGTTGTAGAGGGAAGTGGCAGCCAGGGGAGTCCTTGAGCTGGGAGGGTCCTGGTGTGAGTCTGGTGTTAACAGGTGCACTCTGCCTGCCTGTGGGGAAATGACTGGAGGACAGGAAAGTAGGGAGACCAAGGAGGAGACTGCTTCCATAGTTGGGTCCAGGACCCAGTTGAAATGATGGGTCCTGGACCATAGTGGGAGTCGGTCAGAACTGTGCTGGGCTCACAGTCTGAGAACTGTGAACTAGAACTCACAGGCCCTAGAGCTGACTGGGCTGACCTAGGCAGTCTCACCCTAGGGATGCTGGATGGATCACGCAGGGCAGTGGCATCTCCAACAGGAGGGTTTTACACATGGATTAAGGTACAGGCTGGCTGCTGACTGACGTGACCACACAAGGAAAGTTTCCTAGAGGTGGAGCCTCTGGAGAATTTGTATTTTTTTTAATTGGTTAATTTATTTTAATTGGAGAATAATTACTTTACAATATTGTGATGGTTTTTGCCATACATTAGCATGAATAGGCCACAGGTATACATGTGTCCCCCTTATCCTGAATCCCCCTCCCACGTGCCTCCCCTGTATTTTTTCTAAAATTCTTTTTCTGTTTCTAAATATCACCCCTATTTCTTATAGCAGTGAACAACAGCAATCTCAAACTTACAAAAATCCCTAATGTAGAAAGTAGACATTCTTAGTGATCCTTGGCCAGAGAGAAGAGCCATTTCTATTTTGCCCAGCGACTCCAGCTGAACATTTTAGGGTGTTCCTGACCTCTGTCTTTCCCCCACATCCACATCTAATCTCTCTGCAGCCCCTATTGGCTCCACCCACAAAATCTATCCAGAGTCTAAACTCTGCTCCCCCATGCCCCCATACTGGCCCCACCTCCATCCTTCCCTTCCAGACAACCCCCCACCCCACCCCACGCAGGGCCATCACATCCTCTCCCTGCCCCCATCCCGGTGCCTCTCCAGCTGCTTCCCACACTCGGCTGAGGGAGCCTGTGAGCCCCTGAGTCAGATCAGAGCCCTCCTAGTGGAGCCCTTCCCTAGCTGCATCTCGTTGTGGGTAAAAGCCAAAATCCTCAATGGTCTTTTGTGTCTCCCACTTTCCCTCTGGCTCATTCCACTCCTACCTCGCTGGCCCTGCTGTTCCTCAGAGGAGCTAAAGACATTTATACAGCTGGGGCTTTGTGCCCGTTGTTCCTCCTGGCCTTGTCTCAGACATCCCTTCCTATCAGAAGCCTCTTCAAGTTGTATTTGTCCGCATAGAACCTTGTCGTTGTCTGGTGTTTAATATACATCTCTGTGCGTTTGTTTCCAGTTGACCTCCCAACAGAATGGTCACTTCTTGAGGGCAGGGATTGATCTGATTTTGCACTGTGGCCCTGGTCCCCAGCACAGGCTTCTCAGGTGGTGCTAGTGGTAGAGATCCCGCCTGCCAATGAGGAGACATAAGAGACATGGGTTCAATCCCTGGGTCAGGAAGGTCCTCTGGAGGAGGGCAACCACCCCAGTGCCAACGACTCCAGTAGTCTCGCCGGGAGAGGCCCATGGACAGAGGAGCCTGGCAGGCTGCAGTCCATGGGGTCGCAAGGATTTAGACACAGCTGAAGTGATTCAGCACTAGTACCCAGCACAGGGCCCAGCAGGGCACCCTGGAGGAGCAAGTGAATGGATGTCAGGGGCAGAGATGTTCCAAGACATGGAACCTGGGACCAGCGTAGGAGGGTCCCAGGGTCCGGAGAAGACAGACACGCTCCCCAGAGGGTGAGCTACCTGAGCCCTCATGCTACCCTGAGCCCTACCCTTGGGTTCCAGTGGCCTGGGGCCATCAATCATATGGATGCTGGCGTATGGAGTAGATGGGAGGCAGATGCAGCCTCCAGGGCCTCAGATGGAGCACAGAGGGGGAGACACCTATTGTAGACACCAGCTGTCACCCCTTCGGCTGAGCCCCGGGGAGTACAGAAAGCAGGGATAAAAGTGAAGGTAGGAGAATGTTGTTTTTTGGAGGCAGGAGAGACTTAAATCTGAAGAATGTGCAGCCACACTCACCCCGCAGCCTCCTAGGTCTCTGTGCCCACTGACCTCACTTGCCTCATTCCAGGTCATTGACCACAGCGGTGCCCGCCTTGGGGAGTATGAGGACATGTCCAAGGTGGAGAAATATGAGATCTCACAAGAAGCCTATGAACAGAGGCAAAGTACGGGATGCCCAGCGATGGATGGGGGTCTATGGGGGCTAGAGGAAGTGTGGGGGCAGGCAGAGGTGTGTGCAGGGGCACACAGGATAGACAGGGACACTGAGGGGAAGTTGGCGGTGTGTGGGGTGGGGTAAGGCTGGCATGGGGACAGATGGGTCGTGGGAGAGCAGTCAGGGTGGACAGGCATGAGGTATGAATGGAAGCTGGGAGGTGTGGGGAGTGTGGGCAAACAAACAGGGCCATGGCAAAGGTTCAGGGTGTGAGGGCCTGGTCTGGGGCACAGTGTGGAGGGCCAAGTATGGTAGAATATGTGGGCCAGACAGAACAGTGTGGTGACAGACCAGAATGTGGGGGGAAGGATGAGGAAGGTTTCCGGGGTCGGATGGAGGTAAGTGAAGTTAAAGGGCCAGGGAAGATGGGGTAACGTGAAAGACTGCAGGCAAGCACCTTCTATTTATTTTCAAGATTATGGGGAAGCACAGGGGATCTGTGGAGAGGTCAGGGCTCTGGTGGGAGACCTGGGGGAACTTGATGACAGCCCTTCAATGCCCAGAACGGGAGAGTTTGTCTCTGGATGTTGGCCCTGTGGGGATGTCAGGTTATCTCCTCAGGCCAGAGGTCTCCCAGGTCTCTCATGTCTGACCCCCCGCCACCCGCTCCACCCACAGACTCAATCCGC